ACCGTTTGGCCCCGCCTCCCTACTTAATTAGGTCGGCGGTAGGCGCCTACTTAGTGAAAGAGGTAGCCACTTAAGCTACTACATATGGACGCAGGATAGCTCAACTAATGATTTGGTCCCTAGATTTTACGAAAACTCATGAGCTTGGAACCAACACAGGTGCAGCAGGTAAAAAGTAACAAAGCTCCGGGAAGCAAAAGCTTTCATCTTCTGGTCCGTATCCGATCATGGTCTTTGACCAAGGTGTAGCGAACTCACCATTGCATGTGATCGCGCAGGGCTTGTCAAACTCCTCATGCCTCAAGACTTTCATACCGAAAATCCGGGTGAAGAAGCCTGAGCACGGAGGTTTCGTCTCTCGTGACGTTCGCAACCGCAGCCCTTTGTCATGGCCAATGACAGTCAGAAAGTGTCATTAAAAAAAAACTGGCAACTAGTCAACTAGCCGCCCAAATTGGACAATAGTATACAATTGTTATAGCCATCAGGTATAGACATCCATAGGCCAGTTTGTCCCTTGGGTGAAAAAAATACCTCTCACCAAGCAGCGCAAATTGGCTTTCACATCAGTCGTTCGGATGACCCAATGAGCTGGCCGACTCCGGGCGATTAAATCCTGGGAGAGGTGGATGAGGACCAATCATCTGCGGATTCGAGAGAACTGCAAACCATCATTCATCTTCAACCGTTCGACAAATATGGGGTCTCAGTCCTTGCTGTCCACTGGTTTGACCATCAATTCATTCACAGTGGGTCGCGATGCTGCCACGACCGCTTTACATCTAACCTCAGCTTTGATCATGCACAACAAATTGACAAAAAACATCAACATTCCATTGTCCCACGGAAGCTTTGAAATGATCCAAGAAAACGCATCAACAATTTGCAACTTGACCTCCCCTGTCAATCTTTCTATTTCTGCAAGTGTTTAGACTGAAATGTGCTAAACCTCGATTTGACACAGCCATCTTGCCACAAGAATGGCCGACATTTCAGAACAAGAGCTCTCCATCTGGTAATCTAATTGCATCATATGGCGGCACAACAAGCCTAGTGACTAGTGCAAACCGGCCAGAATCACAAGTCTCAACGAAGGTCAATGCACAAGTCGCAACCCAAAGCAACAGCTTAAAAGGCATAGGCTAGGTCAGAACTGTCCATCAAACTGTCAACTGTAGTAATTGAACAGTTTTCTCTCCGTTGAATCAACCCAGCGGCGAATCGACCCCGATTGCGCACGGCCACAGCTCCAAGAACGGCCACGCCTTAGAGTCGGCCTAACCCGGCCGCCCATGTCGCCGGCCGAGTCGTTGATGATATGATAGTTCAATCAAAGGCGGAAACGATTCAAGCAGTGATTAGGCAAATGGAATTTGAGATGCTGCTTACAGAGGCCAGTGTCGCCACAAGAAAGAAACACCGCAAAGGAATATGTTGCAAAATGGGCCACAAAACCTGACTCGATATGTATATTTATATATATATATTTTTTTTTGTATTTTAATATGCATTAGTTATAGTATAATATACTATACATACATCCACCATGGGGCAGGAGCAGCACTAGCCCCAGTGTCAGAGTGCTGACTTCAGTCCACACGAATCGACCATGGTGATCGATGACTGGAGGTCTTCGATGAGGTCTTGTCGCACGATTATTCACCACAAAAATGCACTCTGAGGCTTCATACCCCAGACCATCCATGTATATTGAAATATATTGAATATATAAGCTTACATTGACCCCCCAAACCACCACCCCAATGTGCAAAAATATGCAAATATGCCATACATGGAGGGTCTGGGTATGGATTGAGTATGGGGACTGCTCAAGTGGTGGGGAGGGGTGCTCCCCTACCCCAAATAATAGAGCAACTATTTTCGGTATATTCTCATTTAGGGGGGCCTATATTTTTGACCATTTCTACACCCTTCCCAAATAGTTTCCAAGTAGCAACAACATTGTATCTATATAAGAGTTTGCAAGAAGCACATTATATGATCGAAGGAAGCATTCAAAAAACCATCATGCGAAAATTGTATCAAAAGCATCATCCGACGAAACCAAAGTACAAGAAAACACATGGGCGGCATGATGAAGACAGACTTCAATGTCTTTTTAGAATTCTGTCGAAAATCTGGGCTTGTGTGAGGCAATGATTTGAAAGTAATTCAGGCGCCCCCACCACCACTGTGCTCTAGGGTTCTAGGGTGGAGACTTGGGTGGAGTGAAAGGCACGGCTTTAAGGCCAACATCAACTGACTGCTTGAAAATTGGATCATGCACAGCTTTGAAGTTCATCAGTCAAACAGTGGTGTTGTTTGCAAGAACATCTTGGGGTTATAAAATATCCTGACAAGGCTAAAAAGAAAAAAGAAAACAATCTTATTGCCTATTATTGCAAGTGCTTTGTGTTTTTTGGGAGATGCTTTTGTGATTGAAGCCGGTGCAGCTTGTCCTCCAGCTCCAAGGATGGCAGCCATTATATTGAACATTCTGGGCTTGTGTGAGGTAATGATTTGCAGGAATTTCTAGGGTCCCCCGGTCCCCCCGCCACCAAAATAAATACCTTTCTCGAGCCACTAAGACATTTTGGGCTTGTGCGAAGTACTGATTTGTAGGTAATTCTGAGGTCCCTCACCACCAAAATATGCTTCTCGAGCCATTACGGTTTCTCGAGCCACTAGGAAATACTGGGCTTGTGTGTGGGGTACTGCCATTAGGAATTTCTGGGCTTGTGTGAGGTACTGATTCGCACCAAAACAGATTCTCGAGCCACTAGGAAATTCTTGGCCTGTGTGAGGTAATGATTTGTAGGTATTTCTGGGGACGCCCAACAGCAAAATATGTTCTTTGTATCCCTCATGTCGTGGGGGTGGGTACCTGTTTAATGTATGCTGCATTTTTCGAGGTCCCCCCCTCTCTTCTTGATTGGCTTTGATATGGAGCAAGTATTGAAATTATCCACGTTTGATTGGGTATGGGTATGTATGGGTTACATGTATATAGCACGTTGATCATCCTGGCCGCCAGCGAGCTGGCCAAGGCATCATGGGACAGTTCAACTGAAACTACATGGCTTGGTGAGGCAAACTGGCCAGCCTCGATCATCGGAATACAATATGTCTCACTTGATCTAGCCCAACTGACAAGCCCCTGAATCACGTTTGGTCAATACATTAATGAATCCCTTGCCTGCTATTACTAAACGGCCCCCTTCCATGTTAAAACACACACACATATAAATATAGAGGGGTGTTTCAGTATTGAGAAGGTCTCTTTGCGCCCTTTACATGCTTATGTCATGTCAATGTGTGCAACCCTATAGGCAGAAAACCAAAAATGCATGCATGCATTTTACCTAGGTCCCTCCCTGCGTGCATTTTCCTGGGATGGGGGATTTCTTTGTTCACTAGGATTGTGAAGGTCGGGATTTGAATTACTGTATTAGAATGATTAGAAGGTACACCACAACAGGATTCTTGTGTCGACTTGAGGAGGGTGATGCTTTGAAGTCATTTTTGAGCGACAACATGCGACATACCTAAGGAAGGAGCATGCTAAGGAATTACGCTTTGGGAGTGGAACGCCTGACTGACTTTGCAAATGACTGCGATGACTCAAATGACGATGAACATGACCAGGAGCAACCCACACAGGGTGACCATGTGCCTGATGACCCTGAACTTCAGCAGCTTGTGGAGGACATGGCACGGACCAAACTAAGCTTTTTGATGCAGAAAGAGCTGCCGCATTTCAGTGTGAATGATCATGAATCATGGGTCCAGAAACAAAGGAGCTAGAGACGCGGATGGATGAGAGCATGTTTGATGACGAGGCACATCCTGACATATTAGTTTGCTGAATTTATTTGAGGTCTTGGTTACTTATTGAGGTTGGCTGGTCAGCAAGCATGTTTAATATTTAAGGTCCCTTAAACGACTGTGCATGGTTAAACTATTTTAGGTGTATGATGTATGCCAAATTTTATACAAACATATCAAGAAAATACTTTAGGTATAGCACCACATCTGTTTTGAAATAATTTTGCACTCGGTTTGGAAAACTATTTGGCCTAAATTATTTCCAGAGGTAAACCCCGACCCTCAAATAATTAGAGATGGGCGGTACCCATGATTGAGTTGATCGATTGTGCACTTTCATTTATTTGGTGGAGACGCCCCATGTACTGCCATACCCTGAGCCAAGCAGCCATGCCATGGCAGTCGGTCTCTCTCGCCTCGCACTGCTGAAGGTGGACAGTTTGTATGGAGCTGATCTCTTGATGTTGGCACCTGACGGCAAGGAACTCCGCGCCAGCTCCATATAACTATTACAATACGGTGTATAGTTGGGTAGAGGCGGTTTATACATGGACACTGAACAAAGGGCTTTCCCAAGGACCTTGGACGACTTCGATCTACTTTGCTTTTGAAAAAAAACGTCAACATCGAAATGCAAACCCCGCAACCAACCCATGCAAACACCAACCACCAAAACCGTCCAAACACCTCCACCAGCCATGCAAAGTCCGAAATGCTCCGCCTGAAGAGCTGGTCGGCTCTTTCCTGCCACGAAGCCGAGGTCCATGGCAGCGAGTGGCGTCGGTGCACTGGGAAGATGATGTCCAAAAGTGTCTGCGGAAAAGTACGCCACGAGCATGTGCATCTATCTGTGTTTAGCCCTTACTTAACTAAGTATAGGCGCCTACTTATGAAGTAAGCGCTAGACAAACCACTATCTATAGGTAACCTGCTACGAGCAAACGCAGGTGGGAGGAGCGTCCTTGAAGAAGTGCTCGCACTATTCATTTCTTGCACGCATCAATCAATCAGAATGAATCGCGAGAAGGGGTTCGCAAAGCATGATGCACAAGCCTGTACGATGCGTCCATCTACAGAACCATCACCTTGGGAGACCGTTGTATTCATTTGTATTCATCGATCACCTCCTGGGATTGGCAACGGCCAATCACCGCTATCTTAGGCGACCAAGGCACGACCATCACCCGGGAGTGCGATTTGCGGTAGTGCAGCTAAAGCATTGGCACGCTCCTCGGAGCGAGGAGAAAAAGAGGCGAGGTCGAAGAGGATTCGTGTCGAACACGGCCTAAGAAAATCTTCTCCACGTCCCTCAATAAACAGTTACACCTCTTGATTTGCGGAAAAGTTTCGGAATATATATTTCAATATGTCCTGTCTTTGACAATGAAGTGGGGAGCCTAAGAGTGATTTGAGGGCTGTGAGGCATACCGGTAAGGACACAATTAAACTAAAAGCACCTGTAAGCCAATCTCTTTCTTTATGGGTAACTACACTACGCTACTGCTGCTAGGCCCATGGGGTCCCCACCCTGCCAATCACACGAGTCATCGTGGTATTGATGTGGCTTGTTTGGCATTGATTTCTCGGATGTGGGAAACATCCGAAATAGTTCTGGTGCTTCTGGATCGTTTTTGGGATGTCTGCATGATTTCCCAGGAAATTCCATAAATGTTCAACACCTCTCCAAATCACTGGGGGGTGCAGCATATCCAATTCTCGTTTGAGGTGGGTACCACTCGGTAGTCCACTCGGTCCCACCAGTTGTGCGATGGCCATGCAAATACGAATGGTCTCCATTGGCATCACCCGCCCATCATAGCATAGATTACAACAGGTGTCAAGACTGGACGGTTGGCAGTGATTATTTTCAGAACCAATGTATCATATATGCATCTTGTATCGGACAGGCACTGGTACCAAATGTCTTTCCAATGAATCAGCGGCCAAAAGCATTTAGAAGGATTATCCGACTCTGCATGACGCTGCATGGAAGCGTCTAGCCCTAGCCCCTCGTGTGTAGTATATTAAAAGTCCCAAGGATGCGAAGGCGTCTGTTCGTGCCATGCACGCCTCGGCGAGTTCCGCCTTGACCCTCACTCCAAGTCACCGGCAGCCTGCCGTTCTCAATCGCGTCATACAGCCGCTCGGACACCACTAGTGCCTCAATACGGTGCTCGTGAAGGCTAGCTGTAAGAACCAGTAGCTTTCTAATTGAAAAAGTATGAACGATAGATAACAATACCCATGTGGCTCATTGACACCCAACAAACACAAGTGGTAGCTGGCAGGATCATAAGCCTTCTTCCAACTCAAGCACCTTTCGAAGCACTGCTGAATGCACTGCAAGCCGATTCAAACCATTGCTAGCCGTCCGACAGATCGAAAACTGCAAACCGGGGTGCCGAGACTTCAAGCTCCTTGTTGCACGCCCATTTGCCCAGAACGTCTTGGTCGTCCAAGACATGCGTCTCAATTGACATCCTGAATGACGGGGCCGACGGGCAGTGGAAGGGCTCCGATGGCTTCCCCAGTCCACTTGGGAGCAGTTCACTGACTGATGGCATCGCTATTACTAACAAATGCATCGCTACTAGTAGCAAGTGCATCGCTACTTTTAGCGATGCGCTTGCTATTAAGCTTTGTTTGAAGCCCTCCTTGAAATATCAACATGCGATTCTTACGGGCATGAGATATGCACACTGGAGACTGCCTCCGCGGGGAGGGCCTTCCACGCCAAGATTCTCCAAGCACATGCTGGGCACCTCAGATTCTCATGGCAAGACGAAGACTGAGCCCATCTGGAGTTCGCGCGCGCTCTGGCGCGCTCTGTGCCTTCCAGGTAGAGGCCACCAAGCGTTTCAGGAAAGCCACTGGATCGTCATGCTTCACCTGCCAGGTTGGTAACAAGATCCGAAGAACATTATGCCACATATGATAGCCATTGATAGCCTGAAGAGCCAAACTTCTCCCGGAGAGGCTGAGCACCGCTACGTGAATGAGGTCTTCCATCGAAGCATCCAATATCATCCAATGCTCCAACCCAAGCAGCTCAACTTGGCTGCTGAAAGAATTCTGGACCTTTTCTTGTGTTTGGGGGGCATAGATGGACAAAGATGATCCTAAAATTGATCCTCAAGGCAGCACCTCAACCACTAATGCAACAACCCTTTGTTCCAAATAATGTTAGCCTCTTTGTGGATTTTTTTCTGATTTTATCATGTGCAATCCCTTTTTTGAGGGAAGACTACATTGTCCACCTTTGCCGGCACAATGTGCTGCAGTCCAAGCCATGTTTACATATCCAATAATAGGAATAATTATGAATATATATTGTATATGTGCACCTGATAAATTATGCACATGGCTTTGCTGGGCTAGCTACTTTGAGCCAAAGCCTGGGGTCACACTCCTGCCAATCGTGCTTTTCTCATAAACATACGCAGGCACTTTTGCAGCAAGAGCTTGCCCGTGCTTATGTTTAAAAAACACATCAAACACTTGGCTGGATGGTCTTGGCCTCGCACAGATTCCCAAGAGAATCCGCCTGGCTTCACGATGCATTTGGGGGAGCTTCCTCATGGGCAGTCACCTGACTGGCACCTACGCTGAATCCCTGTGAATCGCCCTGGAAAATAGCAATGAACTGAATCTCCTGAGAGACCCAAACTGCTCTCCAACAATCATACGAACCTGACCTCTCCAAAGGCGCTGCCTGCAAATGGAAGCACGTACAGCCGCTGTCAGGCAAGTTATGGCTAGTTCCTCCACAGTCGGGTGTACATGGGTGTACGGTGTAGGCGCTAGCTGAGTCCGACTCCGAGTCTGCATGCTGAGTTTGATCTGTCCAACTCAGTAACGCTCAGATCATAGAATAGATCTGTGAAAGCACCTGCCAGAACTTCCCCAAGACATTCTGGATCTTCTACCTCAACGCATATTACCCCATAGCCGTCATGCAACGTAATGATGCTTAGCCATGCTTGTATCGCACGATCACTTCACTGCATCACACCTGTTAATTAAGTTATATACGTGGATTGGCACTTTGTCGGCTCATTCGCATAAGTTTCCGGCAGCAGCCCCATGCCAGGAGTCCATCCTAATTACAGCGGAATCTTATTTGTGTCACACAGACCACTGGTCAAGCTCAGGCTGAAGCTCCGAAGACAGGGCCGATTCAGACTCGGCTGCTTCCTCCTGGGCCAAGTCAAGTGCTGCTTGATCCAGTTCCGGTGCAACACCACCAAACTGAGAGTAACAACCACGAATACAAAGAAACATACTCCCCACCGACTACGAAGAGGTGGGGATGGAAGAACCTGGTACAAATCACCAACGCCACCAACCCTCACCCTCCCCCTCCCCCTCCTAATTCAACAAAACATGTGGTGATAACTTGCAGTTTTTTCCAGGGAAAGAAGAAGGGCCTACACTGCGACTTACTCTACCTCATTGACATCCCCAGCGAACTCCTTGGTTGAGGGAGCGGGGAACATCACATACACATGGAGAGAAAGGAAGAAAGAAAGCAAGCAAAGTGAAAGCTAAAAAAACAGAAACACATAGAGCGCCTCCTCCTCGTCTTCATCCCATTCGGAGGATTCCTTTGACAACAGGCACTGAAACTCGCAAACTGGTATGGGGTGGGGGGGGGGCATGTGTTGTTAACGAACTTGGGCTGACTGGAAGCAGCTAATCACCAAAAACAACCTGATTGCAAGTGTGTTGAAAGGATGGTGACCATTCGGTCACATAAAGCACTGCTGCTCCTCGTCCTCCTCATCTTCAGAGGCTCCTCTGCACACGACGTGAGCACAACAAGCCAACTGGTGCTGTAATATCGCTGTGTCAACTGCAGCAACTTTGACTTGATCACTGAGAGTGAACATGGTCAAACGGATTCGGTCTCACAATCCATTTTAGATCGTTTAGCAAGTGAAAGTATCTACAATTCCATAAATGCGGAGATGAGAACAGAATGAGATGATATATAGTATAGAGTGTGCCTGAACATCCTCAAGGGCAACTTCGGACTAGAAGGGAGCAAGCTGAATGCACAAGGCTTTTTCAAGGCCTGGAAGTGCCTTAGGCTTGGCTACCCCTTTTAATGGCCCCCCATACCTAGCAACATCCATAGATCTCATATAGCACAAGTCTAAAAGGGTAAAGTTGTGAACCCCATTTGTCTCGAGCGGATGCCGAGAAATCTGGGGGCGGACGCGGCGCAACCGGCCTTCCTCCTGGAATTTGGGTACCACACCAGCCTGCCTGACACAATCTGACACATGTATTTGAAGTGCAACCACTTTGCAAGTCTGTAACCGCAACCTCTGAAACAGGTCCAACAGGACACAGTCACAGGAGTGACGTCCATGTTGCATGTTGCTCACATTATGTTGCTTCAACATTTAGGAATGCCAGCCTTCTGGCAATGTCAACCAGGTTGATGCCCCGAAATCCTGCGGCATTCCCACCTCAGTTGGGGTAACCAAAAGAATCAACTTGACTGACATCCGAATCCAATGCCATTCCATTATCCCGAGGTGAGCACTGCTCTCACATTCGCTGCTCATGCTGCTTGACCGGCTGAAGCGTCGGGGCCGTTTGCCAGCCGCAGCATCCTCCTCCCTGGCAAGCCTGCAAGTTGGATGACTCGGATGACTGCGGAATTCAGAAGGGAGCTGTTGATTCCTGGGTTCCTGTTGATTCCAAAGAATTACCAAGTACCTGGACCTGCTTCTTCGTTTGGTCGACATCTCAGCCCATCTTCCATTTTGGTTTGCCCGTGCTCCCTCCAATCAACCCCAAGTGGCATCTTGCACGTTCGGTCAAATGCACAAGCAAGGATCATCGTGAAGTGCAAACAACACGACGTTTGATGCACAACTTTTGAATATGTTTGTTCTCTTGGTCATCATATGCTAGCGCATTATATATGCTAAAACAAAACACCCATGACCCCATGACCCACCTTGCAGCTCCAAACAAATCCGGCACTTCCCCACCACCCTTCGGATCCCGCCTCCGCTGGTGTCGATCCGATTTCTTTTCCAATGCTTCGCGGTAGATCCTCCAGGCACTCAATCCACTCAATCCAATTGTGAGAAAAAACGAGAACACATTTGTAATGCCCTGGATTTCATATTATTGATCTTGAATGTGGAAACCGTGTATGACGTCGGGGCTGGTTGGTCCCACAGTAAGTGTCTAACGTGATGAAGAATTAATGTGGGTCATGTGGGCCTCTCTTCTCGTTGTTCCACCATCCTTCACCTTTATGAAGCTGGATGCGGAAAAGGCACTGAAGAATCTTTTCCGCATCCTCCAAGCCTTTCGCTTGAAGCACTTCGGCAGCACTTGGTCGACGCTCAGGTCCTTTGTGACGCTGGGGTGCTGAGACAGCAGCACTTCGGTAGCCCTTTTGTCCATCCGCTTGAGAGGAAGCACCTTTTGTCCAGTACCAACTCACCTTCTAGAAAGCAACCGCGCCTGCGTAGTCTACTAGGGCCTGCTAGGGCCTCTAGGGTGTCTTCAAGTTGGACAAGAAACGCAAGAAAGTCCCGAACCGAACGGGTGTTGGTTACAAGTTCTACATCGTGCTACTGTTCTATGCTACAAGACGGTCAACGCCGTGATCGCCAAAACGTCAACAGTCGACGTCGAAAAGAGCCACACGTTCTCGACGAGTGTCTTTTGTCCAACAGCTGCATGGCAAGACTAGAGAGTTGCGGATCCGCATCTTCTGGCAACGCTGCAGGCTCTTCTGTGGTGATCTTGTGGACCAAGGACAGGACCTCAAAGTCAACAAAAACATCCAAAAGGGTCGACCGGTCTGCCGTCCAATCCAAGTTGTGCGACTTGTTGTGACCCAAGTTGAGCTCAAGCTTTAGTATCTTTAGATTGGTCTGCCGCTGTTGAGATCTTCAATGGCAATTCTATTGGTCCGCCAAACCCCAAAGCATGGACTTACACCATCACACCATGGAAGACATTCTCTCTCTCTCTCTCTATATATATGTACATATAATTACATAAGTGCGTCAATTATTGCCATGCAAGTAGCACCACTCTCCACCCAAAATGTCATGTACAGTAGTAGCTATTGCTCAGCTAACAAAAATGCTAAATCCCTTGCGGCCCCTGCGCCGAACTTCTCTGAGGCCACCGCATTCTGCGCTTCGAATGGCCTGTGCCTTGGTGCCACGCGGCACCGACGACCGGCACAGGTCTCAGTTCCAACGGGTCTTGGACCACTCTGCAATGATTGGTGCCGGAAAGATTACTTGTGAACATTGATTTACACTTCCTGAAATCGTCTTGGAAGTGGACAATGATATTGAATGACCCCTTGGATGTCCTCTACAAACAGGTGGTTTTCCAAATCCATGTCAATGACTCGGAGACTATGTCGTCCTGCATCCACCCAAATACTATAAAATATCCTGGGAAACCTGCCCGGGCCCATGTTTCTCGCCAAAAGAAGTGTCCACCCACTTGCACAATGCTTCGCTATGCTTTGCTGCTTGTCTGAACAAAGAAAGCAAGGCGTTTGGCCAAAGAGGTTGACCCTGACGCAGAAGCTGATGCCAAGTGTCAATGCCATGAGCTCAAAGAGGACCACTCCAACGCTCCACATATCCTTGTGTTCACTCGCCGTGTCTTTTTTTGCAAACTATGTTTGGAATGACCATGTTTGACCCAGTCAAGCGGCTGTCTATGCTGTTGCTGTTGGTCCATGCTGTTGGAGTGGGGGTTTTCATGTTTAGCCTGCCTCCACCGTATTTTCATACTGATAGAGTTCTGAAGGTGTCCAAATGCAATACCTATGCTTGCTTGAACTGCCGCATATGTGATATATGATATATGATATATATATATATATATTTGTTTTTTTGGTGACGACAGTTGTGCGACTCAATGCCATCCCAGATTCAGAGTTTGCCGTGCCGCCGCGGCCATCCCACCACTCCGGCGCCATGTACATCGGGCTTCCCACCTCAGCAAAAGAACTGCCAAAATGACCCGGCGTGATCCGCAGATTAAGGAACTTTCACGTTTCAAACCACCTGGACACGTAATACATCGTAATACGTGCTGGCTCTAGGCAACTGGGCGCTCTGAGACAATACCGGAGAAAAACCTCCAAAAAAAGAAACAAACATGGACAACGCTGGCAAGTCTTATCGGGTCTTCAAGCTCATTCTGCAAGTTCCATTTGCCCAAAGCGCTCTGTGATATCTTTCTTGGGCTCTGTTGTCTCTCTGTTTTATGGGGTCGGAAGCAGTTGCACGAGACCAGCGAAGGAGTTGTATGTTGTATGTAGCAAGCAGGATGTCCAATAAGTACCTCTAGAACCAAAAGCTTGGGCAATGGGACTTGTCCACAATATTTCACTTCCAATGCTGTATCTGACAATGCAGCACTCTCAGCCGGAGCCAAGGCTCTGATGTCATGGCTTTTTGCTCCGATTCGGTCAGCTGTTTGCTGACACCGAAGTCGCCCAAAACGATGTTGCGCGCCTGAGAACTGTAACCCTTGTCTGGATGAGTGAATCACGATCACGACTCTTTTTTTTGTTACCTTGAGACTACATACAAACCCACACAATGGAGGAATGCTGTACATCTTATATATACAATACGTCTTAGTCATAGGCCAAAACACAATCTCCTTGTGCCTGTCAACTGGGTCTTGACACAAAAGTAGACACATTTCAGCCCGAAAGCCACTTAGGGTACATTAGGGCTACAGGGAAAGTAGCGATTGAAAGTCTGCAGTCAAAGCTTCGCAAGTTGATTGAACTTGCTGACAGTCCTTACCTGACCTCATCGACCGGACGTAAACTACAGCAAAGGCTCTCCGGAGATAAACATGTTGCTGCCTTTGACATCTCGATGCACGATCCGCAGCTTATGAACGTGCTTCAAGGCCATGCACAGCTGCGTGACCCAGTTCTTCACCTTTCCGATTGGTAGCTCCAACTGGTTCCTCAATAAGGCCGTCTCAAAAACGAAAACGAACACCGAAGCACCTGGCTGATTGAGAACAAGTGATTAGTAATTAATCATCCAATTACGGTATGCTGCTGCAATTGTTCAGGGCCACAATGCAAAATCTGCTGTCACGGCAGGTGTCTCACGGCATGTGTCGATCTCACTTTGGACATCGCCACCAGGATAGAACTTCAGGACGATCCAATAACTAAGCATGTCCTGAAGCGGCGAGGCATGCCGTGGCCACAGAACGTTATACTTGTGCCCTCCATACAGATCATTCAGCACAGGCGCAGGCACTGCAACAAAGAATTTAGACATCTCAGTCGACCATTTCAACACCTGAAAAGCGTGCCCTTCTCCTTCGAAGCCCACACAAAGTCCACCAGCTGCGCCACACATTCATGCCGCACCTTCTGCAAGAGTGCAATTTCTTCAAAGCCTGAGGCGCAGCTCTGCAAAGGCTCACGGATTTTACTAAACATTTCTGTAGTCTGATCGTCTGATCTCTCTTCTCCAGCGACCCCACTGGAAATGACATGAAATGACTTTAGGGAGTTGTGTGCTTTGGTTAAGGGTTTGTGTGTGTGTTATCTCAATCCTGCCGGCCCCTGACTCCACGTTGGGTGAAACAGGATGTGAGAAATAGGGTTTGTGAGGTTTGTGAGCTCGCGAGCTGTGGCACAGTAGTTTGGAATGTCAAAGGAAACCATTGATGAAGGTGCTGAGGGAAAGAAAATTCAGTGGGAGCTCTTTGCTGCATCCTTTGAGCTACAAACAGCCCAAAAAAGGGAGTCGCAGTCCAAACAGCGTCCCTATTCTAATGCTGACCAAGCAACACATGCGGCGCTGTTTCTCCTCCATGTCCTGTACGCGATGGAGGAATGGACATATCTGGCTTAGGCCAACACTTCCTCTCTTCCATTTTCTGCCGCGCCGCGATTGCTGCGCATCAAGGAAGGCGAGTGCATACGATTATATACTAGGTTTTTAAGGAGCACAGCGGAACTGGCACATTTGGCACATGGGTATGAGTCCAAGTTCTGACTCTAAGCACAGGTGCCTTCACCGAGCACTTCTTGGCCACCAAACGACGGCCATCCTTCAACCGCCGGACGAGGACCGCAGCCCCAAAGGCACCGGAGCCCAAGTGGCGAATCTCCTCCTTGGTCGGCAAATCTCCAATGCGGCCTGTTTTGTGTGCACTGAAACCTGGAGGATTCAACGGATGACAGGTCATTAAAAAGTCAATAAACCCTTCTCTCACATTTGACAAACATCCGTGTATATCATATCAATTCATATCATATCACATCCCCACCTGGTCTCTTTGAACACAGGGCCATCGGGAATATGGCCATACACGGGAATAATCCCTCATGATCCCTCATCTTACGTATTATTTCTGTCTACATCTTCTCAAAACATATCATGCCGTATTCATCATTCATCAAGAAGCACGTCAGAAATGCATCTCCAAAGTTATGAGATGCAATTGCCGATTGATGCTTCGATCACATCAAGAAGCTTCTTCAAAAACAGTCTCTTTCTCATGCGCTTCGAGCTTCGTAGTACTGCGATGGGTTGAACTTTCCGATGGGGGCATCGGCATCGGCATTCTGCTCTGCCTGGCCAGCCATGGACAGCCATGGTGCTTGAAGTCTTTGCCACATCTTAAGCCACCCCCAAGCACGCTCGATTACATGCATCTGCTCAAGATACTATAGATCAAAAAGGATATGCGCCCCGGTGCGCGCGGCATGGCCTTTTCCCTGGATCCACGCCTTGGCATGGCTGCTCAATACAACGTTTGTTGAAACTCGTCAGGTTTCGTAATCAAGATTGACATGATTGAAATTCTGGGACTGACCTGACACGTTCCGTACCTGGGGGCAGAAACCATGAACTAGCCGCCAAAGCTACAATTAGACATGGGAGAGTGGCCTTGCCTCTCGACATCTGACATGAAGGGTCATTCATATCAACGGTACGGAGCAATAGCCCACAGGCCCACAAAGTCTTCTATCCTACGTTCGGCATCAACCCATGAATGATCCTGCGCCTTCCTCATTTGAGCCAGGCAGCGGCTTGCTCTTTGCAGGGCCTGCTGCTGCTAATCCGACTTTGGGCATCGCACTCATGGCCCACCATCTTCTTTGGATGGATTGCTCACTTTGTAGCACACGGCTATCACAGTAAGGGTGCACAAATGCCGCTATGTTTCTGCATGTTTCTGCAGTGCAACAATTCAACAAGCCGCACAAAAATACATTCATACAGTAATATGATATCATATGATTACATAGGACCATGTAGAAATGTAAAGAACAGTAGTGTCAATATCAATATTTTGGTCAGAATATTCTCAACGTTCAAATTCTCTGGGATTGTTGCTGGAGACATGGCAAGACAAGACATATGCAAACCGGATCAGGAAGGCCAGGCCAGGCGAAACGGTTCCGACTTCGGCAAGTTCAAAGCTGCAACTTCAGCAATTCAATGATTGCGCATGTGGGAGCGAACGGACAACCATGCCGACCCTTTTAAGCAATCATTTCTGATCAGCACTCAGCCAAGGAATAAGCATCACAGTGTCATCCTTAGCTGATTGCTGAAGAAGTAGAACAAACATAGTAAACGTCAGCAATCCTCACATACCCACCCATTTATGCCTGTATAAGTAAGGGTAGATTGGCAGATGCTTCAAGATCAAATCCAATTGTCATGTCAGCCAATCAGCAACACAACTCCGTCTTTCTCTTAGTTTGGGGCCATTCAGGTTGCTTTCCTGCATCACAAAACAACTGGATGCTTTGCACATGAGGATTCTAAGCCGAAAATGCCTGATGATCCTGAGCTTCTTTTAACATGTGGCTTCATCAGTCTCAACAAGTGGCCTCTACGTCCTCCCTTTGTTTTGGAAGCCCGTCTGGCCTGGCAAACGTCGCCCACATGCCATCCGACTGTGCATGCAATTCGACTGAGCGGCGTGCATGATGTCATCAACTGTGCTTTTTCCATGTCACAGTCCCTAGGCCCTATCGTACTATAGGACCTATAGGATTGGTTGTGAGCCGCCAGCCAGTGTCGATTGAATACCAGCACGTGCAACCAAGAGCTGCTAGCACCATGTCCGCCGCTTTTGTGGGGCCAAACAAATTGACCTTCAAACAACCAAGTTGCTCATCATGGTGGTCCTTTTCATTTGGTCTTACAGTACATTGAGTACATCATCTGTTTCAATGGCAGCAACCAAATGCAAGAAAAGAGCAAACATATAATATACAAAAAATGATTTTCGGCCTTGCGTGTCTTCACGTTATTCCTAAGCTCATCCGTCTCCTTCCTGAGTTGCTTCTGAACATCCTCAGATGCTTCGGTGCTGCTGTGGCAAATCGGAAACTGTTTCCAGAAAAGGCCATCCATATGTCAATGTGCAGCAACCGCCATTGGATGTGAACTCAATGAATATGACCTGATGACACTTTGATATCATCATCCACTTGCATCTATGACTACAAGCTGATTGTTGTTGTTGGGCTATCAACATTGACAAAAAATCCTTGTGCAGCACAAGAGTCAGCGAAGTCTTCTCCTTGCCCAAGCTTTCCAAACATGGACCTTGTCTACAAAGGAAGAACCAACACTGAACAAATGCCATACCGTAGGAGAACTCACAACTACAGCTACCCCTGGACCACACTTCAAAGAGCACCAAGCAATAAACATCCTGGTCATCCAACTGCTGCTCCAAATTCTATCTGATCAAGTGCCACAACTTTTTTCACATCCCGCTTTTGGGCAGCAAAAAGCACAACAAAGAAGCTCAGCGCAGCGGCTTCATGGTTCGATATTCCACGAGAAAATCCAACATCTCCTTTTCAACGGAGCGTCATAGGACGGGAAATCGTTTTCCGTGTTGGGCGAGATATGGAGCTTAAAGGGTTTCCACTGTGGGGCTTTTGAGTCCACTTACGAATTGATGTTGCGAATGAAGATCTGAGGCCTGAGGCTGGCATATGTTGTTACGGTATTCGTTTTGGGTGACCCACAAAAGGCCAGAACAATGTACTGATGATGACTGATGCACATCTTAATTATCGACTGGTGACTAGGCTGCTCTGTTTGGCCATCTCACTGGCGCTTTCACTCCTGATCAGACTTCCCGGCTGCAGTCGCCCAGCGCTTCAGTGCATTGCCTGACGGGTCTGGCTCACTGCCCAGATCACCTGTCCCGTCTGGAACTCGTCGACTCTGCTTAGTGACCCCTTGTTTATATGGGTTAGCAGTTGCTTGGCATGCAGGAATGAATTGTGGTCATCATGCATCTGTGTTCTAAGCACTCAACGCCCTGCAGGCCCCTGTTTGAAGAACAAATCTGGGTTCTTGCGCTCCTGCTTGGGTCCAATCTGGCACGGCAATCCAACTGCCAAATGGATCCAAATGGGCATTCATTCAACCAACTGCCAGCTGCACTTTATATAAACATCATACAAACCAAGCATAAGACACAACGCCATGATCCTCAACAGATTGATCCCCCATGCAATTGTTTTCTTAAACTACATAGACTAGAGCTAGCATAGAATTAGATAGAGTTAAATTGGATTTGAGTTAGAGCTAAGATAGAACTGAATTAAAACCGAATTTCAAGTAAACTTGTATTGAACTATAACTATAACCTATTTAAACTTAGATGAGAGTTGAATTAGAAAGGAATTGGAATTAAAATTAGAAGTTCGCCAGAATAAGATGTAAAATGCTTGAGCTACAAGATGCACAAGTCGAGGAGGCTTCGAAATTACAAAGCCGAAGCAAATGCAACAAGCATTGAATTAGAACTACAGCTTACACAGATTCATAACAGTTTCATGTAAATTGGAAGGTGTCATTACAGTTTCATGTCAAGCTGGTTGGACATGCAATTGGCAACAGCATTGATACCAGTCAGCAGTTAATGCACTCAGACTTGTATATGGAGATGTGGACAAGGACACAGGAAGTGTTGAGCTCAGACGTTTTCAGATGTAAGCAAAAAGAACAGATGCCTTGAGATGAGAAGTAAGCTCAGATGCTAAAACACAAAAACCTTGGGAAGACTATAAAAAAACAAAAAACAATTCTCAGAGACTCTTGGCTGGACCCTCCAAAATCAGAAAAAAAAACGTTGAGAAAACAAAAAAGAAACAAAAACACCAATTCTGGGAAAGTCGTGAGGAAAAGAGGGTCCAGGCAAGAGTCTCTGAGAATTGTTTTTTTTGTTTTCCCAAGTTTTTTTTGTTTTTTTTTTCTGATTTTGGGGGGTCCAGACAAGAGTCTCTGAGAATTGTTTTTTTTTGTTTTCCCATTTTTTTTTCTTTTTCTTATGTGTTTTTGATCCTTTATGCATATTTATGAGTGTTTTTTAGTCGTGACTGTGGCACCAATGCATTTTTCTAGCATTTACCTAAAATTTATGGAAAACTCAAACCCAGGCCCCATGGCCACCCCTTCTGTATTATATATACACAGAGAGAGAGAGGTTGACGGTGAAGCCCATCTTTGGTCCTCATCGGTCATCACCTTTACCATTTGCTCCTGCGTCCGAAGAGAGTCGGCAACAGCAGCCGTTCATAAAAGATCATAAAAGTCAGGACTTGGTGCTCTTTCTTATGTATTATCTTCACACCTTTTCTGTCTCAGCAGCTGAGTGCTAAATGTGCAAGTGATCTTTTCGGGGTTCACATGATATGCATCTTCTTGGACCTATCGCTTCATGGACAATCACCTGAGACAAGTCGATACCTTTAGCGGTCCATGCGGGCGCGCCTGTTCAGCAAACCTCTCTTTCGCGTCCTCTACATTTTGGGTGTTGCTCCCCTGCTGAAGCCTCATGGCGATCATGAAAGTCCACGGATTGTGACAATTTCAGCCTAGGAGGCTTCCCTTGACACACTACATCACGCTACCAATGGCTACCAAGTCCTGTGCTCTCTCAAGTGTAGGCGAAAGCAACTCATCTTAGCCAAACCCTCTGGCAAACCACCCACGAAGTCAAGTGCAGAATCAATTGTCCAATCTGGACTGTGCAAACGTTCAATGAACTTGGCGAATGCGGTGCCGCAATAAGCTGCTCACATGTCTTTCAATGGTCCCACCTGAGGACTTGACCGAAAGATTTCTAGAATTCCAACACTTTAGTGGACATTCTGAAGTAAAACCCTCGGCTTCAGAAAGTCTCAAAATGAAGGAAATTGAAGTTGAAACCACTCTATACTCGGATCTTTGCCTTGCCTTCTCTCCTACTTCTCCCAGCTTGCCAAACCTCGTGAGGCAACTCTGGCGAGTCTTTTTGGCTTTTCTATTACACAAGGGTAGCTCGTGGCCCCTCCAAAGCCCAAACTCCACAGCCGGTTTTTCGATGATTGAGTCGTACTGTACGGATGTAAGTGTCAGGCATTTTCATGACGACCAAGTAGTCATCAAGGCTCATCTTGCCGCTCTTGCCTCATTTCTGAGCAGGACGCCTTACCCAATCACGGTTAATGGAGCACAAGAGTGCCTCCCTCCAACTGGGGCTCCTGCAATTTTCAAGCATTGCTTCGTTCTCTTCCTTTGAGAGACCTGGCATCTTTCGATTCATGAGTGGGAAAACATGTGGAACAAAATACGCCAATTCTTGAGGCAGCACGAACAACAGCATGCTGTGCTGTGCATCGAGGTCTGCCCATTGATTGATATTGATGCTATGATCTCCGTTCGCGAACAAAAGCCCGCTCAATTGCTCAGCCTAATCAACCACAGTGAAGTCGTGTTGTTTTCATTGCCCAGGCACAGGAATCCGACGGATGCCTGTGGCACACCCAGCCGCCCGCAGGCCCGCCGGCCGTATCGCACCTGATGCAGCCTGAACAGCAGAGTCGGTTAAGCTCTTTTGCATGTCCTCAGCCGTGGAATGATGCGGCATCTCGATGTGATTTCTATCCTGTTCCTACTGCCAAGCAGTAGTTATATAACTGGTTGCAAGTTTTTCCATGTGGGAAAAGGTGAAAGATGGTGAAAGCTGGATGCTTCATGTATGAGTATGAGTCGCCATGGGGTTCTGCATTTTCCCGGTCTTTCGAGTCGCCAAACCAATCGCAATGCCCGCTCCTCGAAAATGCCTCTTCGCAAGGTGCGAGGCTGACCTGAGCGGTGTAGACATGTGTAGACCGCCCTGCGAGTGGGCCAATTACTCCCCCACACCCATGAGAGTAAGGGCTGAGATGTCTGTCTATGGGAGCTTGCCTCTCCACATGCTGAGGAAATAAAGACATTGATTCCTGTATTAGCCTATGGGAGTGCACTATATACATGTGTATATATATATACACACGCACACGCTTACCCAACCCGTGATATCCCTTTTCCTCTTCCTCAGCTCTTATATATATATATACACTATAATATAATATATACTGTATATATATATGTAGATTCTAGTAGATACAGTATTCATATGCTTTGCTTGTTCATGTTGATTGGTTTGGTTTATATATATCTGTCCCTGCCATGGCTCGCTTCAGTTTCCATGTCTGCATGTCTAGTTTTCCTTTCTTGACATTGCTTTGACTTATCAATTCAGCTCTTCCTGCGGAAGTGTTGATTCACCCTCGTCTTCACATGCTCTTGCTGTTCTCAAGGGTTTGTTCAGTTTGTTCTTGGTTCTCAGTGTCTTCGCTACATCTTTCCATTCTTGGATGCTGCTACTTTTGCGATCACTCAGAAACACCCGCGACAAAAAGTTCTTGTGACACACACACACATACTTCCTCGTGCAGGAGATGTTAAGCTTAGCCTTTCCTGCTGTGCAACGCTCATGTGTCACACTCCTAGATCCTCTATTCAGCAGTGCAGCACAATTCCAATGTCACTTGCCGGGCGTTCCGTTACATAGCTCCCCCTCTTAGTGACTCTTCTTGTTCAGCGCTCTTCCTTCTGATGCAATTAGCTTGTTCATGCTTCCCGGTCTCAATAGCCACCTGCTTGCACTCGTATGAGTCGTTCTTCTTGCAAACGGAATGCAGTTTCGAAGATTGCTGACAATCGAGCAAAGGAAGCGTCAATGAGTCAATACCAACTGTTCACCCAAGGTGCTTCATGTGTTGCCATGCGCTGTTGAATCTTCACTCACGCAATGAACTGCATGAAGAACTGAACAGAATTTATTAATCCTAACTTCTGGATAATAAAACATGTCAACATTGGAGGCTCGAGAAAGGAAGAAGCTTGGGAATATATATATATATGTATATACAATAATTTGATACAAGAACAGGAAGGTTTGGCATATCAGCAAGTTTAGGGATGAAAAGGCCTAGAAAAATGGAACGATCTTAAACCAGCATGGCACAATGAGAGATCTGGTGTATATATATATATATGCACACACATAAGATATGATGTAATTACACACGTTACATATATATATATACAATAATATATATATATATAAACGCCAATTTATTTATTTGTTGCCCCTCCAACTACGGACATAATATGGGGGTCTGCACACCCAAGCAAGGATCAGCTGTTAACTGTATACAGTGTATGGTGTGGCAATGACCGTTTTAAGGGCCCAAACATTGGCGGCTAAAGCTGGCAGTGTGACCTGCGAAGGTCAGCTTCCAACTTGTTGAGTTGGTGCAGTGCCAAAGAACCTCAGGATCACTTGTTGAGTTGGTTCGGATGTCTTTGCGTTGCGAGGCAAAGGTCAAAAACCCTCTAGCTCCGTTGCATGTGGAAAGGAACTTTGTGCTTTTGTACAGGCACCTTCATGCTACTTGCAGTAGCAGAGTTCACTAAGGGCAACACGAAAATTGTGGCAAGGATGAGAGCTAGATACCGCCTCTCCTCCAACATGAAGAGATCTGGCTTATGCAATAACTCCAGTATCCAATTCTTGGCTTCAGCCATTACTTTCTTGTTCTTTTTTTGCATGCATTGCGCTGATCTCGCCCTCTGCTCCAGGAACATGGGAACTGGACAGTTTTGTGATAGTATCTGACTGCTCTTTCAAGTGAACAGGTCGCCCCTCTTGCTCCTTTCGTTTCATCAACAGCGCTTGGTCCTTGTGGAGGCCCTCTCTCCGCGGCTTTGATCGTGGTGCCGAAAGCCTCTGAGAGCAGGGAGGCGTGGCGCTCCAAAATCCGATGGCTGGAGCTCTTCAGTTCTCTTGCATCCAGCTGTGTCCAGCCATCCATCCCTCTCCAAACAATAAGTTGATCCAGTGGTACATTGCACTCCATTGAATCCAGTGGCATATTCGAGCGGTCCTGACTTGGTCCTACAATCTTAAAGGGAAGGCCCCCCCAAAAAAACAAAGAACGTCCCCACCCTTCAGGATGACCTCTGCTGACTACTAAAGATCTACCAAAAATTATTATCAAGGCCCCATCCCCACCCCACACCCAAACACAAACAAAAAGCGCCAAGCAAGGATCCACTGTGTCTGCGCATGCTACACAAAAGAATTCTTGGCCACATGGTCCTCGCCATCCTCACCTATGAAGAGCAATCGTGCTTGCCTGGTCGCCATCTCTGCAACCCTGTCAACTGAACAAGAAGAACTGATCGTTGCTCATGGTGCGCAGGGTGAAACACAGTTTGCTCGTGCTGTCATGTGAATATCTGGTTGTATCTGCCTTTGACTCTTGTATCTGCCTTTGACTCTTGTGCGCGTGAACATCTAAACTGCTGCAAGGCCAAAATGGCTCAAGATGCTTCGGGGTCGAACCTTGTCGTGCATAGGCCTTGTCGATGGCCTTGTCGGCAAACTCACGTGGCCATTGTGTCTCAATCACCTGCTTCTCTCGACCTGTTGATTGAGCAATTCACCATGCTTCACTTTCCTTTCACCGAGTTCTGTTCCCTTGAGCACATCTGTCGTTGACTGCGAGCAGTATTTGCTCGCTGCGCATGTGTTGGGCTAGCTGTAGGGCATCTTTGGACCTCTTCCAGCCCACATCTATTTTGCAAAATGATTTCAGAACCTTAAAATGATCAGAGTCAGTCGCAGGGATTCATGACAAGTTCACTCTCAGCCAAGCCAGACTCGCCAGCCGCTGTGGATGCCTGAGTGGAATTCCGTTGCGAAGCCTACGAATCACCATCACCCGAGGCAATTGCTTCACAGTGTGCAGCAAAGCCGTCGATTCCTGCGGTGGAAGGGCAAACTATGCTAAATGCTGATGAATGTGATTGTTGAAAACCCCGGCCCCAACACCCAAGCGTTTTGAAGTAGAAAGCTTTGGTGACTGCTTCTTCCCTGCTTGCAACCATGATTCAGTGTCATAGATCCGCATTCGGCCATCCTGAGGCTTGAAACTAGTTGCCCACATTTGTTGCTGTGTCAACATGGCGATGGAAACAAACTTTGCACAACATAGCAGCGCTACTAGCAGCGCTCTTCTCAACTAGTCGCAGCCACACTAGGCTTTTATTCTCAACACTGGCACATCTTGTCAAACAGGACCAACAGAGGTTAAGTGATCTCATAGGACCCTACTGGGGTACCTATGGGATGGTCTATGAGGATCTACAGTATAAGGTCCTTCTGTTGGGAGATATGCAATTATGCGGCAACATGTTTCAAATTGAGCTAAATCGATCAACTCGAGCCACCGAAGATGTTTTTCTTTGCACGAGTTGTCAGATTCGCTTGCCTCACAGGCTGCTGCCAAACGCGATCCAGCCAAAAGAACCGCAACTGCCGGAGAATCTTGTGGATACCTGGATGGGGGGTGAGCTGCCGGTGTGCAAGTGTGTGTGTGTGTGTATCTGTGTTGGACTTCAGTGTGTCTAGAGCAAGGAGCAGCGCAGCTTTAGACAAATTCCCATCTGACTGGAAATGAACAATGTATGTCCAATGAAAAAATGAAACGTCGAGAAAGTAGGTTTCGTGTCTCAACAGCAGCAACGAGCATTTGGATTTGTTTCTGAGAGCTGAACTGTCTTAGCATCTCTCCAGTCTCTGTATTCCACAACGTTATAGCACGATCGTCCCCTGCAGACCTGAAGTCTGAAATGCGCCATGCAAAAGCCGGCAGTCTTCATCTCTAAAAACCATGCAGTGACTTGGCAGGTTCCTCTACACCCCGAGCTTGGTGTTTTTTCGGTTCAAAGGACACAATAAATATCGTCTAAATAATAGCTGATGGAGAATTAACAGGCTTGTGTCTCGTTCCATGTATGGTCGAATCACACTGTGCACACTAAGTCTGAAGCACCATGCGCTCTGCGAATACGTTGCACCAAGCAATCGAACGAACCTCAAGCGTTCACAAATCTAAATCACATCATAATGACTCGTGCAAAATACAACTATAATCATCTATAATCCACTATACATAGTAATCATAGTAGATCATAGTCATGTATATATAGATTCATTAAGAAATTGTCTGCTTCTGCTTTCGATGCAATCCCATCCCACCTGTTCAAAACACATTGCAAGAAATCGGATGATCACCCTTACAAAGGATCCACCTTCTCTCGGCCAGCTCTGTGGGGTGCCTAGCATAGAGAGCGCAACCAAGTTACAAAGTCTTTGTGCGCGGCGATGACACGAACACATTCTGTTGCCTCGGCACTTCAACTGTCGCACCAAACGCCAAAATAGGAGATATGAGCATCCTCACATCTGTGAGCCTTGCATAGCCTTGCAAGTGTGGCATCTACATTTTAGATTACTACATTTTTGCCAGTAATGCGAGTACTGTAGTGTCTGGCATTCAACATGAAAGCAAATGATGCAGTTGGCGCAGCGAGACGAGCTCCGCGCATCCCTTCGCCAAACTCGGATGCTGCGGTCATCACTGCCTGGCGGGCAACAGGCCACAGCCAACGGCCAACAGTTGGCCCAGGACGTCGAAATGGGGAGTGGGACAGGTCCTGTTCCCACTTGGCTCTCGGCTTTTCATGCGCTGCTCTGACCTCTCCAAACCAGCTGGAGTCTCCACTCGCCAAATACGAGTTGACTGCGAGGCAACGGACCATGGAGGAATGCCTGACGTTGCGGATGCCAAACTAAGCCAATTGCAGTAACAAGTCATTGCTCATGATGCCCAAATCTAAGGCACAATATATATAATGTACACATACATGACAGTACAATCGGAACGTTGAATTCTCGCAGGACTAAGTTGTGAGCCCAGTGTATTTGGCAAGCAGGTTTCCATCCTGCAAGGACCTGGGGCTTCGAGGAAAGCTTGGGCCCTGTGCAAGGTGAAAGCTTAAGAATCCGCAAACTTCTCTCCACGTCTCCGTATACTATATGACAAACTGGCTCATACTGATCAAGTAAGGTTCACCTCGCGATCTGTGCCGCAGGCCATTTGCGAATTTGCCGATCCCCTGTGGGCAATGAAGCGCATGAGGCTCGAATCATTGAAGACCATTGGCTCTTCTTTCACATCTTCTACTGCAACTTTCTATGCCTCAATTCTTTTGCTGAATCTAGGCTCGACTTCTGTGACTTCCCGGGGAAGCGGCTGGGCAGGACAGAACGCAATCTGTTCGCCCATCTTCACCATGGGAGGAGCAATTGCAGCCAAAATGCTGGAACCAGAGTAGAGCACCTCGGAGGAACCTGCCATTTGAAGGTGGCTCTGGTAAACTGATGCTCCAAAAACATAAGAATGAGCACACACACAAAACAAGCGTTTGCTCAGAAACAGGTCTGGCCTTCGGCCGTGAGGATCATGCAAAGAACAGCTGCATCCTCAGACTGTGAGACTGATCCTTCAACATGGCCCCAGCATGGTCAAGGCCCCCAGCATGGTCAAGGCTCCGCCAAGCCCTTCGAAAACCTTGCGTCATGCAGCCGACCTCAGCAAGATGTTTATCGGACCAGGGGAGGGCATTGTGAGTCATTGTGCTTCAGGAACATGTTGGATTGGTTGAATGCCGCTCTCTCTCTCTCTCTATGATGATGACTACCAGGACATGGTGACAGGAACATCCTCTTCAGTCTCCCACAAAGCGAAATCTGAACCGTGCAGGCAGCTCGACGTCATCCTCACAATCTCACAACTTGGGTGCCTCTGATTTTCGACATAACCAAGGCCTCGAACTCTAACACCGACCATGTGTCAAGAAATCGACGCCCGTTTTTTCAAGATTCTGAATTTTGTGCACCACTCTGAGCTGGTGAACAAGCTCTGAGCGCCGCTTGAATCCTTCAAGGCTCGCTTCGGGCAACAGCTGGTCCTGAGAAGGGACGGGCCGGTCGGCCATGGACATGTCCATGGCCTCCCCCAAGCAGGTGAAGTCAAACGTCAGCACAAAGAAAACTAAAGGGGTTCAGTTGCGGCATGCTAGGACTTTGGAAGATCTGCACATCTCCTGTGGCTCAACGACAACGCTGCCATCTGCCAGTTCTAGGCCTCTGTGCTAGGCCCATGCGAAAGTCGACATGTGCGTGTTCTGCACTAAGTCATGTCATAGAGTCATACAGAGTAAGAAACACTCAGTCAACCGACTCGGCCACTCAGGTCAGGGCGTCTCTGCACCACAAATTCTCCGTGGTCACCCAACTTCAGCGACTGCCAAAGGGGGCAGCAAACAAACTACTCAATTGGGTCCGAATCAAAAGTATTCTAAGTGGTAGTGGTGAGGATTTCAGTCAGGTTCATGCATTCGGGCATATGCGGAGCTAGAATCTAGGTAAACCTAGCATTTGCAAAGGCAAGCCATGGCAAACCATTGCCAGGTTGTGCGACCTGTAGCTTGCGACTGGGTATGAATGGCCCAAAGCGGGACTAAGTCTACATGTCGAAGCGTTTCACGCCCCGCACATCTTTCAGCTCCATCACGTCATCGAAGTCCAACAGCTCAATTTCACGTGTCCTGGGCCAAGCCAAACAAACAGCTGCAAGTTGGCAACTTGATGCAACAGGCATTTAGCATGTGGCACCTGCATTCTGGGCATAGCCCATCAAAAGGTCTAGGGTAGGTCCTTTAAGATGGTAGAAGGTAAGTACTAAGGAAGCTAAGCTACCTAGTAGTATATAATACTAGGCAGCTTTTATCAGTGAGATTCTTCAAGGAAGCCTCTCCTGCCGGATTCTAACATCGAAAAGCTCCGAGATTCGGAAAACAAATTGTTTCATGCAAGTCCAACGCTAATGGTTGGTGCCCCCAATAGCTATCGTCTCCAATGATTGCATGAAACTGTGTCTGTATTGTAGTGATTGACATTATTTTTGCACCTAATATATATAGTCTATTGAAAAAAGCGGCTTTGTAGGTGCAGGCTAGCTATGACCCTCATTAAGCAAAGAGGTAGGATACATATATGTATGCATAATGCAATTACATTAGACTCATCGGACGGAATATGTTCCTCGCAGTCTGCTGGCTGCATCTGGCTGCAATGTTCCTTGCACCTGAAGGAACTTCAGCTGTACACTTTGCTCATAATTATCTGTGCATGGCCAGCGCTTATGGCATAGCACAACAGTTTCTGAACACCTCACTACGGGGTGCTGTAAAAGGATGCAAACGGTGTCTGTGCCCGTCTGTGTGTGTGTGTGTGTCTGATTAGTTGAGGCACAAGGCCACCGCCGAGAGAGTCAGCATGGACGGCCAATGTGCCAAAGCTCCAGACGCAACAACAGAGTCGACCGATGCAGGCCCACCCTGGCCACTGCAATACTGGCAAGAGCTTCGTGGCACATATTTGCACACTCCACAGTTCACCAATTCAGGCCCTCCTCCACTCCAGGCTCCAGCGGATCCGGCAGAACCTCCAACGTTGTAGGTCTTCGTCACCTTGGCCTTGCCACCCATGCCATTGCAATAATCGCACGTGCCTTTGGGCACACAAACGCACACCCCACAGTCATGACACTGGGCCAAGTTGCGTGCGGTGGCATTCCCCGCAGACAGAAACTCTGCACAAGCCGAGGAGGCCAAAAGTAGGATGGTCCACGAGCGGTGCATGGTCCTTTCTTGAGTTGGAGTGTCAAAGGATCCTTCAGTTTATTGAGCCAAGATCTGCAACATGGACCGGAGTGAAATCAAGTCAAAAACAATATATACTGTGCAGAACACAATTAACATATGCATTGCCAGTAACATGCCAGAGACAGGGCCCCGCGCGGGCAATTGCGCCGATACACCAAGACCTTGCCAGCAGAGCATGCACAGGCCTAGGTCCGTCAACATGAACCATACACCTCATACTGACCGGCATTTCTTCGCCAAAGATGTTCCTCGCACGGATGACCTGAGGACTGGTGGATGATCTGAGTCTGCTGCAAGGTAATTGCCATCGCGGCTCAAGGCAAGGGCAGTTACCTGGTTGTCATGACCTGTGCAAGCGAGGAGCCGCAGGTGACACCCGGGTACAATGATACAATATTCACTTCCTAATCTCAAGGTGTCAAGCTGAGCAATGAGCCGACACCTGGTTCGCCTCTCAGAAACCTGGGAACAACGAAGCTGCACCGAATCTGCCATGATTCTGTGACAGTCAGTCTGCTCTGTCTCAATCACTGTGGCCGTCAGCCGCTCCAGCCCCTCCCAAGAAAATGGACAAATAAAACAATTGCAAAAAAACAGTCTGGGAGCCCGAGCTCTGCTGGTCTTGCCGGCCTTGTTACTAATGAATGTGAATGCATGCAGTACAAAATGGATGGTGTCTTGATATGCCTGGCTGATGGAGAAAAGATCATTTTCAGAAAAACAAACAAAGAAAGCAATATTGTTCCACTTTGCAGAATGTCAGGTCAGCAATAAACCGAAACTTTGGCAAATCCAAGCAGCAAACACAAGGCCACCAGGACCCAAACCGAGCTGGCCAGGACTCCCATTCGTGCCATCGCCCATCCCAAGATCCGGTGAGCAATCGCGGCCCATTGGCGCCATGCCTTATCGAGCAGGGAGACTCACAGAACAAACGCCCCTCCACATGGACGGTGACAGCTGTAGCCAACGAAAGTGAGGTGCCTTTCTTGACAGAAACTGAGGTCACGGCGTGAGGCTCACTGAATACAACGGATCCCGATTCGTGGCATCATGGCGAACGCTCACCTGGCATGAATGATTCCGCTTTGCTGCATCCGATGGGCGCAGCATCTCTGGCTTTGGAAGAACGCAACAAATGACGCATTCCCCAAGCACGGGCCATACGTTGCTGTGATAGAGAAGATCCATGGTGGGCCACGCTCCACTCATGTCCTTTGACAGGAAGAGAACATGACAAAGTTGCCCCCCATGACTCGCCAGATGGGCCAACGGTTTTCCCGGAGACTCCAAGCTGAAGATTCGCGCCTCCGCCCAATTCAAGGACGCTAGTCTGATGGATAGGTTCATTGTGAGCTGTGGCACCCGTGCCAAACAGTTCATTGTGTATATGGCCAACTATGCCAATTTCATCAAATTTCTCTATATATTGTTTATTCAGCAGTTTCTTTGTACGCATCTCATGTTGATATCTTTGCAGGAGTTTACCTTTCAGTTCTCCTTGCGAGTCATGTCTATTGAACATACATAAGAAGTTTCCTTCCAGAAATCGAGAAACCGCCTGCCTGCCCGTCACTGCACCCAGTAGCAATCACACTTGGTCGATCCTTGACGAATTGCGGCGAAACGGGTGAGTCATCGGCGAGTAGATCATGGTGATATCAATGGTCGAATTGACAGATCTTGCAAACATCTTACTTGCAAGTTGCAAGTTTCACAAGGCTGCACTGTTGCGCACAATTGCCGCGTGGTTTTCCCCTCGTTCTTCGCAGGATCCATTCTTTCGCCTCTGGATCGGGATCCCTTTGGGATGCGCCAGGGCTTCGTAAATCTGATTACCTTTTGCAACACTCTCCAGTCATCTTCAGTCACTCTCGTCCTCATCCTGGGTGGGTTTGGCTTTGGCTTTCCCTGCCGCTTTTGGGGGGTTGGGCTGCGAAGCCTGCGCGTTGGGAGGTGCTACTGGCGCTGGCGCCTTGGCTTTGGCTTCGGGATTCCTCGCATCTCCGTCTCCAAAAACACTGGTGAAGAAGCCTCCTGAGGACACGGAATGAATAAAAAAATATAGAGAAACCGTATATATAAACCATGAAAAACCGACCACCTTTGACACAATTTTAACCAACTGCCTCAGTCAGAAATTCCCAGCCTTGCTCTTCTGGCTCTTCTGCAGCCTCCAGGTGGGAAGAAGCTTACTACCCGACGGGATGTGGACCATTCCGTCGCTTGTTTTTTTTTGGCTGGCTGGTGTGCAACAAGCTGGCCCGTGACTCATGCCCTGAAACATTTGTAGGGTCCCTAGGGCGAAATCAAGTGAAAACCAAAATGGTGGTCGGCGGAAAGAATGTCTCTACCGGACCGGACAGTCCGTGAGCAGTTCTCACCGTGAAGGAACCGCAGGAACCGGCGCTTGTAACAAACTATGCAAACTTGCAGGCGTTCCACGCTTTGTTTGCATCAACATCTGGCATGTCCTAAGGTGCACCATGCTGCTTTGCAGCATCTCAGCCACAAAGTTTCGGAAAATTCACCGGAACTAGGACACAAAGGTTCTATAGGTTGACATTGGTTGCAGTACATAGGTTTGCTCTTCCATCAAACGCATAGTTCCAAGTCAAAACTTATTACTTTGACAGTCTGGTTTTGGAGCATGCCTTTCACGTGATTGTGCAAGTTGGAACGGCCCAACAATAGTAGCAACGAATCATTGACGAAAGGCCTTCACATTCCACCGATGTTCAATCTCTTTGTACTCCTTCTCCTTATCAGGTGCATCTCGCATACCTTGGAAATTTGGAGCTGCAAAAAAACGTAAAGGATATCCGAACACTTTGACACACCCACTGTGAGCATGATATGAATTTGTTGGCCAGGCAGCCATGGTAGCTCCGAAAACAACAAACACTTTCACCGTAATTTGTATGGTTCACTGAAGCATGCCCTTGAGTCTTGGAGCAGTGCTTCTTGCTGTCTTGTCGGGAGTCGAACGCACACTGAGTGCTTCTTCCCTTCTGAGGGCTACACGCTGAATGAAGGGTCTGAGTGATCTCTGCTCATCTGTGGTGAGAATGTACCCACCTGACGCCAGTGCACGTTAAAAGCTGAAAGCCCGCTGCTCAGGACCAAGCTTTGCATGCTTTTTTGCCCCGATTCTCCTTCATAGAGTTCTCCATCATCTCCTTCTTCGGGTGGCCCGCGTCGGTTCATGAAGACCTCCACGGACCCCTTGTGACCTCACTTTTGGAGACGCACTCACTGGCAGGATTGGCTTCGCTTGACTAGGCCCACTGCCATCTAGGAATTCTTCCTTCACGGCTTTCATGAATTGGCTGGCGACAGTAGCCTTTACAGGTGCAAATGCCACACCTGCCAATTTCAAGGGAACCAAAAGTTATAACTGAAGACCGGAGCTTGCAGCCAATGGTCTCACCTGCTGTATGCTTCAAGTACGTCTCACACTCCCTTGCATTGCAGCCTTGCAAAACCGCGATCTGCTCTTGCGTAATGGCAGCCCCAAATTCATCAGGAGAAGCACCGACTCCCAACCGGCGGAGCGGGGCGAAAATATCCTCAGTACGTGGGCGACCTCCAATTCGGGAGAAGACTTCACATACGTCATGAGCATCAGTCATGAGCATTCAGCATTCAATAAATGTATTCAGGGTTATGATAACAACTAAAGGGGTCCCAAACGATGTTTTGCCTTAGAAAACCTATGGAGTGTTGTGCACGTAAAACCTATCCATCGGTCCGTGCACACCTGTCCATCCAATTGCACGCCTACCCAGACACACCCCAAACCGCAGCCGTACTTCATAAGAAATAAATGCGTATATTATAAGTCTATTTCTCATGTTTCTCTATATATGTGCATGTGCAGTGTGTGTGTGTGTGTGAAAAAGGAATCTATATAACCCAATATAAGTGCCCACGGCTTTTTCTGCAGTCCAGAGATCCAAAGGCTCATGCCAATCCCCTTGAACCTTGCTGGGCGTTGGGACCACTGTCACCGTCTCTTCGTGAAAGCTCTTGGGTGGCTCTGCCAGGTCCTTGCGGCGGGCTGGCATCTTTAGCATCTCCCCGGTGGCCGCCAGAATGTTGCGGTCTGACAAGTTGCCTCAGGCCAAGCACGGCCTAAGGCCTAAGGGACGAAGACCTGTGACGGGATGAAGTGACCTTTTTTTCTAAACTAGACGGGATGATGCTACATAATACATTCATGTCATGTCTATTGTAGATATAACGTGATATAACCTAATGGCACCAAACATTACGTCTGGCGCGGCTTTGCAAACAAAGAAGTGCTATGCAGCCTAACACGAGTGGCTCGCCGGTCTCGAATCGGAGCCTGACGAACTCCCTGTCAGCCCATGTTCAGCAATCGCTGCGGGTAAAAACAGAACTGGAGAAGCGGGACTGAAAAAAAGAGGATTAATACTGTGCCACCAGCTGGTAAGACAATGACCACCAATGCAAGCGATGGTGTATTTGCTGATGCTTGGGGGGTGTCGCCAACAATACTTGTGCGGAACATGTTGATTCGAAACAATCCTTGCTTCGCTAAGCGGGCTCCAATCACTCAATTGATGCTTGCGATTGAGGCAGTTGAGGAACTGAATAGCAGCTTATAGTGTCTTACAGTCACGAACCAGTTCACCTCTCGATGATGTTTGTGCTTCTGACTTCGTCAGTTCAAGTGACACATGGGTCGTTTGTGATCACTTGGAGTCCCGGTGCTGTGAGCGATCGAGAGTTCCTGGCAATGGCCCAGTGGCACGGGGGATCATGCACCTTCTTTATGAGAATTGACCCGTGGAAGGCCATTTCCTCTAATTACAACCATAATGGTTTGGTAACAATTGATTCTATTACGCAAAGTGGGGGGTGTCTGTTAATCCAATCGATCGTTTTTGTAACTATCAATTCCAACCCTCCCCCATAACGAGAACTTCAGGAAACCTCCTTCAGAGCTCGCTTTCGCGATGCTAAGCCCTGCCCGACAACATCCGCCTTTGAAGAACAGGTGCTCTTGGCTGCAATTGAAATCAGCTCTTGGCAAAATACCATGTCTACCTGGGAATAGAAGTTCGAGTGGATCTTCGTAAGCATGGCCTGAACCAAATCCATGTTCATGGCTTTCCGCATAATCTCCTGGCTGCTAGGGAAACCTGGGTTGGAACGAGAAAAAGTAGAATAATCATCAGAATATGCTGTCAATTGAGAGTACGACGTCCCGCAGCAACTACCTACATTTATGTCATTGCTGGAAATTGATTGCACTAAACACACTACACAAACAATTCCAAAATACTGTGCTACATGGATACATTGTTTCTCTGCAAGCTCAAACAACATACTAACCGCATCATTACCTCAATATAATAATATATATATAATATATACACAATCAATTTACATATAATTAGTTAGTATAACTACTCTCGTTGTTTGTTATATCAAACATAAATGACACTCTGCCGCACTGACTTGGGGCACGCGGGGCGGCAAGTGTATACACCTTCCGCAGCATTGGGACTGTCCTGACTCTCCTCATGCTCGCACTCTGATAAAGCACCGGCCGCCAAGCAAGCCCAACAAAGTATGTCTGGAATGGTCCCGACGTGCGCCTTCAAACAATGGGATCTCAAAAGTTCTTACAGAAGCCAATCCACTCTTTAAAGTCGGGACCTGATCTTGTCTCAATGGCTGGACGCTCCGAAAGAGTAACCAATACTGGATATGACTGCATGCGGTTTCAGCACTCTGCGGGGCTAGGTTTGCTGGTTCGGATGTTGTTTCTGTGAGAAGCTTCCCATCGACCTGACCTCGGCAAGACGAAAAATCTGATCAAAGAAGGTCAGCGTGTGAGGTAGCTCTGGATGCACCATTGCACGACGGACCTTGCAGATTCGAAACAAGTTGGGAAGATGGCAAGGCCTACAGTAGTCCTTGTGTTTGAAGTGCGCATTTGGACATGTTGAAGAGATTGGTTTTGTTTGGAACATATCACATTATGCGTTGTGTCTGAATCTGGCATGATGGTGGGCGGCTTGCTTCTGTGCAATATCATTGTACACAACGGGAATGGAAACCCTGGGAGTCAAGGACTATAAAAAGAATTGTCTGTGCGGACCTGAATGGGAGCTTAGTTACTTGAGTCGGTCAAAACTGGGCTTCTAGGGGAAATGTAACAAATGGGGCCATCGCCAGCGAATCGTCACCATGAGACAGCCTGAGGCTCTGGCAGGTACAAATTGAGCTGCCACCGCAAGTGCAGACAATGCATGATGCACCACAGCAGCATTGTCGGACTGTTTGCCTAACAAAAGTTTCGCTGCACAGTGCTGCACAAGCACAAATAAGAGACCACCTGTTGAATACAAGCCTGACAATCTGACAACACCAGAAAACATCCAATGCAGTGTCATTGACCGTGCCCAGTGGCTGAGGACATTGAGAATCAGTCGAGGCCCTCCTGCATCCATGAATTGACTGGCGGCCTTGCGGGACTCAATCCTCGGATTGACACGCATTGCAAAACATATATAATGACTCACCTTGCTTCAGTGTTCCAACTTGACGCTCGTAATGCTTGCAATCTGCAGTTTGCATGCCTATAAGCCCTCTGAACGATCTTTCTCTGTCTCCAGGTTGAAGGCAAAACATGGATGGTTGATGCCGCATGTCTCATGACCAAGGCTCAACAACTCTTTGAGCAATGCAGCAGAAGAGGCACAGGCTTCAGGAGAGTGCACTTCCGCCTTACCCAGCGGACCGAGAAGAACAAGTGTAGATTGCAAAGACTTCTCACAAAGCAAACAGGTTCACTTCGTGCGGTCTTCATGGACTTAGCACGTCCGGTCTTCATTCAGTGAACGCGACAAAGGTTGTTGAATGTTGTAGACACAATTGAAACACAAACAATTATATATATATATATGTGTGTGTGTGTATGTGTGTACATACAATTGTACATTGATCACCTTTTTGGGCCTGGTCGAAGACACGCAGGGGGATGGCAACTGTGCCAGCATTCACAAAGTCATCCCGATAGTCTTTGGACGATGTTGCCTTAAAGGGAAGGGAGTGGCATGCTGTCTATTCACCGCAAGGCTCATGGGCCTGGCCAAGCTTGCAGCTTACTTCTTGCAGCCAAACTGCTTGCAAATCGATGCAAGAACAAAGTGGCCTGATCACTTCAGAGTTGGCAAAGTGAGTCTCGCCAATCTTCACCAATACATCAAAAGGCAACGCTTGCGCCAGGGATAAGTTTGTAGGCCCTGCCGTGCCCTTGCCCTTGGGTGATGCCTTCAGAAAAACCTTGGGTCTGCGAGAATGCACCAAAGCACAGACTGAAATGCTCAGGTTAGCGAAGTTAGACACCTGCTGAGCGAACATGCGATTTGTTATCTACTTCCAGGAAGCCTCCAAAGATTGCAAAAGGTGCGTGGCAATCTCCTTGGCTGTTGGTCTGATGCACAAGCAAAACCCCAGCAATCACACTACGAAGACTTTCTGTGCATCGCCGCATCGCCCCATTTCCAACACACAATAGCTGTGGCTGATAACACAATGCTCGAAGCAGGTCAGTCCTGGCTAGCTATGACAAGATTCGGCATCTCGCGTGGAACTTCTCAACGATTTGCATGCAATGATAATCCTTGAGCGAAAACGGCAGGCAGCCAATAAATCAAATCAAACATGAGAGAGTCACGCAGCCATTACAGTAAACCCTTCATGCTAGAAAGAGTGACATCATGATCATGTGCAAACATTGAGCCAAGAGGCAGCCCCTCAGAGACTAAATCTGGCCCTTGGATGAGTGTCTGGTGTCTAAAACTTTTACTCAATGTTGTTTGGCTCTCTGCCCGGCTCAGAACAGGAGAACGCACACCGACACGTCACCAAATCCTTCTGAGGCGTTCACTCTGTTGGGCCATCAGGTGTATCAACTCCTCAGATGGCTTGAAAAGCAAATCGCAATTCGCCCAACAGATTTGCAATTCACAAGGCAATTCGGTCAACGCCTCAGATTGCTTTCAGGATTTGCAATGCGCTGTGGCTATTTTCAACCAATTTCGCGAAACACGCGTTTTCGTCTGCACTGCCTGACGGCCTGAGATGCCAAACTACAACCAAGAGTCTGCGACGTGGAGGTTCACGGAACGGCTGCGAGCATGCTCGTGCAAGGCGTTGGAGATTGGCCGAACCTCCCCTGAAACGATGTCTTGGAGGTGTTTGCCTGGACATTGGCAAGCAAATCGATGTCAAAGACTAAGAGCCAGTTGGACTTCCATAATGTACCGGAAGGCCCTTATCACTTGCCTTAATTATCGTTCATGACGGCACTGGCGACTACAAAAAACCTGCAATGCTAACAAACAGCAAACAGCCACACAAACGAACAAGGCCGAGGTAGAATAGATAGCTTTTGCTGTTCGGTTCCACATGTTCCAAAAGCTTTCCGTGTTCCCTCTTCCTCTATCTCTCTAACTCTCTCTCTCTCTCTCTCTGTGGGCTTGGCTCTCTTGTTGCCTTCCTTCGGTATTGTCAGCAACAGAACTGTGTTGACTTGTGTTTGCCATGGTGTCCCTATGTGTCCCTCTTGTTACTACAGCAACGTGAGGTCCAATGTACACATCAACAAAGTAATTTAAGTTCCTGCTGGCCAACCTGTGAACAATACATGGGAAAGCTGGAAACACTCAAGCCTAAGGGGTAGCAATACCAAATCATTACAGTATGATCCTTGCGGCCTGACGCTGTGATGTCATGGGCATCCCACAAATCAAATCCCAATAGTCATTCATTAGCCTAAATCCATGATTCCCAATGAAATCAGAAGGTGTCCCTGAGAGTGCGGTTCTCCATTGGTTTGCAAATGTTTTTTCTGGAAATTTTGCCACAAATAGAGACATTTCAGATATGACCAGATGCTTTGAGCATTCATAAATACAAAAAAATACAAGTTTCCAGAGGTTTGGGAATCCTGGGTCTCCAAAAAAACAAAAAACACACAAAAACAACAATTTTCCAGAGGTCTTTGAACTTGGGGCTTCTGCAGAAAGAGTTCTGAAATATTTTTTTTTGTCTTTGAACTTGGTTTTTGTTTTTTTAGTTTTTGTTTTTTTTTCAGCCAAAACTTTGCCATGATACATACTAATAACACTACTTAAAATCATAAAACAGCGCACTCTGACAAACACCCGGACTCTAATAAATTGGGCCCAATCACCTATAGGGCCTAGACTGCTAGACCATAGTACCACAGGTTCCGCCTGTGATCTTGCCCATGGCCGCAAAGGTCCTTACAGCGGCCCCTGCCAGCTTCCGGTTGGTTGGGTACAGGTCCATGACGGTGGCGACCAAGCGAATGTCCACACCAGATTGAGGAACCCCAAGGTCCGCCACAAAGGCGGTCTGAGCATCTTCGTCAAAAACGCCTTCTTCGGAACACATGGAACATATGGATCTTGAATGGAATGGCGACGTGCAAAGGATGCGAAGATGTTAGCAAGAATTATGCACAATCACCAGACACAAATATTACAAAATAGTGCTGCTTTTAGCTGTGGAGCTGGCATAGTAGCCTTGACTGGTGCTTTCAGGTCAGCATGCCACATGTCATATAGGTTATATAATATATATATACGATATCTGTTATCATCACCGCAATATAGCTTGTCCTTTGTCAAAACCATCATAACTATAACCTGAGTGCGAGCTGTATGTTTGTGACTGCACATTCTTTAGCCTTAAGTGCCTGCCGAGCTGCCGCCTTGCTCTCTTGTTGCCCTCTCCTGGCCGATCAAAAAGCTGGGGTATATGCAAGTGCCAACGCCACTCCCGTGGCCAACAACCCCTCCTTGTCAACAAGCTTGTCCACCACGCTGTAGAGTTCAGCTGTGGTCACCATGGCTCTTGTGCACAAATGCTGTTCGGATTTCAGACCACGCAGCACCAGGAGGCAATGCCGGATCTGTTCGCCGACACGAATCGGGGATCTCAGCATGCAAAGGATGGCCAGGGCATGCTCTGTGGTCAAGGTGTTGAGCTTATTCCTGAGAATCAAGCCAGCCAAAACAAGCGCCAACGAGTCCATACGCAGGATCCTCCCGCATATCCAAGGACAGACCGTTGGCACATCGGGTCAATGATGCGAATGGAGATCGGTTGGCCCCCTGTCAGAAGCAATTGGTTGCCCAGATGCCGGTTCTGGTCCAGCTGATCCAAGACATAGTCCAGCAAGCCAGGATCACAAAGTCTGCAGTCTGGACTGCCAACTTCTGCAAGACCTCCCAACAGCTCTCTGGAACGAATATGGAAGTGGAAAACCCGCAGTAAGAGGAAACATGGTCTTTCTTTTCCAAGGGTCCATTGTCCACTTTGTGACCAACTCTGCCCTTGTTGCACACACATTCCAAAATGGGCCCCAGGGCTGCATGTGACAATAATGCTCAGTCTGTATTGCTAATAGCAATCAAGGATGGCCGGGAGTTGGAGTTGGAGGCTACGACTGTTCATCAAGGGTGCGAACGGAAATCGTCATCCATTCCCTCATCTCTGAGACTGTACTCAAGACTTCGCACCTGTCCGTTGGTTTCTTTTACTGTCGGTCAGGAATTGGGTGCACCTGAAAACCGTCTATACCCTGTCAATCAACGACTTCCGACAAGTACGCAATGCCAACCTTGCAGCACTCGCATGTGTAGATTTGGATAGTTGGCTTGTTGGAACCTTAACGCCACACCAACCTGAAGGCGCAACAAACTTCGCTTCAAGCTGCTTGCAGAACTGCCTGCCATGTTGGAGCTGTGTCAAATGCCTGGATGCTACGATGCTAGCCAACACGGTCGTGAAGAACTAACTGAACCAGGTCGCAAAGGCCCTGAAGAAGGGCACAGAGAACTCTGCTTGCTGATCCGCATCTCCCGCGCGGTGGAGGGTAGTCAAGGCCTCTACAATCCAGAGTCCCAAGACAGAACCTGAGTTGCCAAATGGGACAGAAATGGTGGTATGAGAGTTTATATGAGTTTATATGAGTTTATTCTGTCAGCTTCTCCAACTCCTTCCCAAAAGGCACAATTGTCCAAAAAGTCGCCCAATGAAATCCCTGGGCTATCTGGAAATCCGGACCTCATTGATTACCTCTCTCTGATTGCCTCTCTCCGGAATCTACCCAAAGAAGGGAATACAGGTGACCAGAGCCTGACATGGTTCCAACACCGCTCACCTGAGGCAGCATCACTTGGACTTGGTCATCTAAATTGAGATTTCATGTAAATAAATAAGAGTTCGTCCTTCGCAGGAGTCTTTTGGGCTGTAGTACAGCATTCAAAGGGAAACACATGCAGCCCACGCGAATGAATCATGCTCGGCCGGCGGATGCTCAGCATTCTTCATCAGAAATACATAGAATAATAGGGCTAAAATGCTTGTTTCCTACGAGAAAATAGCGCCAGTCACAGATCGCAACATGTTGATGCTTTCCAGGAAACTGTCTTCATATTGCTGCAGGGAGTCCAGGAGCAAGGCTGCATAGGCCGTCATCATCTTTTTTGCTCCCTCTTCTTCCTCCTCTTCACTAAAATCATGAAAGTTTCCTAAAGAGAAATGCTCGCAACTCACAGGCTAGCCCCAGCCTTGAGCACCACAATCAGTGGCACGGCGCTAAAAACAAAGCATGGCTGCATGGCTACCGCATGATTCATGATGCTGTGCGCTCTGATGTCGATGATCGTCCCCGCCTCATTGTGCTGCTGCAAGTTTGGCGCAAGCGTCTCCAACTTGGCAACGCGGGCTGCCAACTCCAGTACATCCTGCATTGCGAACAGGGGACTGAGTGCAGTTTGCTTTTGAAGTGTCCATGCCTGGTGTTGCAGTACTTTTCAGGCTTGATCTAGAAGTTCAGAAAGGAGCAAATCAATTGAACTTATTTATTTAGTAGTCGAGTCGTCTGTATATACGATGTATATATATATATATTTGTTTATTTATTTATATGCACACACATATATATATATATACACATATCTGTGTGTGTGTTTGCTTCGGCAATGTCATGGGAACCTGTCCTGCCCGACATTGCGTTGTCCTAACTTTCCATCCTTCTGCCGCTGCAACAGCTTGCTGTAGAGCTGATCCAGGTTCCGCGAGCCTGCACGCCGGCTAGGCCAATGAAAAGAGGTCACAATAGAGCATCACAAGTCATAGAGTATGCAACTATACCGGTATAATGCTATACAACCAATTGGAATCATGCCAAGGAGCTATGCGGTGGGCGCAGTGGCAACACGACGCTATCCAGGTTTTCCACTGGGTCCTGCACGGAGCTCCAGTACGGTCAAGTGTGAGGGTGTCTGAACTAGACAATGCTAAAGCGAGAAGTGCACATCGGGTACAAGGAAGATCCGTTGAAAGCCGCTCTTTGACTTGAGGATCTTGAGGGGAAACAAAATATACTATTACTACTGTGACCTATTATGTATATATACATGCATATGTAACTCATCTCATGTCTCATGAACTGAGTGCTGATACCATGACATGTTACGACTTCCCCAGGGCGGTGCCTATAAAACCTGATCGATGGACTGGAAGTATACGCTTGAAATCGCTTGAATCAATCCCGTGCAAGAAGAGGAAGAGGAACTGCGGTAACTATACAAACAAATATATACAACTACATGGCATGAGGAACTACAGTACTCATCCACTTTCAACTACTTTCAACTATATACATGGAATGTGCTACCCATCGAAGCCACTCGCTCTCAGATTCCTCCTGATCTGCGACATAGGTGGCCCAAGGCTGCCATTCGACCTCCGTCATGGCCTTCAGCTCCTCAGGGCCCAAATTGCGGCGCGATGCAGCAAGAGACCCACACAGGGAATGGTGTCATCTGGATGACTGGGTATCAGCTTCCTCTGCAAACACTTAGCCGTGTTCCATGCTGACATGCACAATGACACCCGCCCTTCAGCACATGGATAAAAATAACTGATGAACAATGTTGACAACGAGTTCAATGGCCAAACGAAAGGAATGATTCCCATGCAGTCTTCTTTGAAGGTCCTCTTCAGCAGTCTTCTTTGACTGCTTGGTGACCTTGACCTTCGAAGCTGGAGGCTTGGGTTTCGCCTGCGGCTTTTTGGGAGCCGGTGGTGCCGGTGGCTTTGGTGGTGTTGCTGGCTCTTCTCCTCGGCCGTCATTGATACCACAAGACGAGTCCGCAAGCGCGCGGCTGTATTCTGCCGAGATCAACCTATCGTCGCTCGGCCCAAGCAATCCAAGATTCCAAACCCAGCAAATGCGACAAATGGCATGGCCAAGGATGCAAAAAAGCTCGAGGGCACAGATTCTTCCTCCTCCTCGGCCACTGGCTCCTCAGCCACTTGATCCTGAACAGCACACTGACAAATGATACAAACAACTGTCGGCAGGACAGCCTGCCAAAGGGCATCAAGGGATCAAAGTGAAATGAGACGCGCTTTGGCCGCTTTGGCGTCACAAGGCTTGCACATGAAACAGAAGCATTCACCTCAATGCTCCGCATAATGCATCTCAGCACAGACTGGCACAGCCGGCCGAAGGAATGTCCGTCACTTATGGCCGATCAACGTGGCCGTTGGTTGTCTCTGTAAAGCTCCTAGTAGTAAGGCCAGGAGCCCCTAGTTGGTAGCGTCCTTGCTCCTGCTAGCGATGCCAGGAGCTCCCAATAGCGATACCAGGGGGCCCTGGCAGCGTCCTACTAGATTCATGACATGTTACCTCCTTGCCTTGAGGTCTGGCTCTGAGGAGCCAAAGCCAGCAAAGGCAGCGAAGGGGAATTCTGGCAGCACCCAGTCAGATGGCTTCTCGTCGGGCTCTGCTTCAAAGTAGGGCCTACAGAAACAGCCATCTATTTGCCATATGGTTGAACTGCACCATTGCACCAAGCTTAGAAAAACACCATCAACTTCCTTTACATATTCCGTCTCACCATGGTTACATGTGGCTACTGTGGTGACATGCGTCAGTCCTTGGCATCGCTTTCTTCTTCGACTGCGAACGGCCCCTTGGGGTCGTCTGCTCCTAGAAGCAGAGTATGATTGTAGCTTCTTGCTCCTAGTAAAAAGAGCCAGGAGCCCCTAGTAGCGATGCCCTTGCTCCTAGTAGCTTCTTGGTGAGGTACATTCAAGAACAACCAAACACTCTGGAACACTCTGGAACATGTGATCGTCAACGTGCTTGGCTTCTTCGTGCTTGGCACCTATCCTCAGGTCATCTCAGGTGTGTATACAGATGTCCCCCATATATAGCTGAGATACTACAGTACTAGAGTCACTAGAGATGGTAAGAGCATCCCATGGCACATCCATACGTTTGATGCATCTTATCTATATACATGTTAAGGGTGCAACAGTGACAAATGTGCATGGCTCATGGCTGCTCTAATGACATTGGCCGCTAAGGAAGCACACATGCCAGCAGTCCTCACTGCCCAATGAGCGAATTCCTTTCTTGCCGTAAGGGAAGCCAGTGCCAAAGCCCGGTGTCATGACTACCTCGCTGAGTTTGGCCCAAAGTGGTCTCCATCTGATCAATGGATGCTGCTTGTCAAGCACATTAACAAACTGTTCTTGCCACAACAATATCAGCAACCAACAGCTACTCCTTGCCAAGTGACATTCTCCTCTCCTAGCTGATCATGCAGTGGCCTTCTGGCAGGCTCCTTGCTAGGCTTCTTCACCGAAGAAAAAGTGTCCAGGCATTCCATCTGAAGGTAAGCACACTTCATCTCTTTATCAATCGATGATACATCACCAGTCTTAACTGCTCTCCACTCTCGCTAGGTGCCCTGATCCCGTCACACCCTGAGAAATAATGAGAAACGCGAAGGTTTTGTCCTCGGGGGGGCCACGTTCAGCGAATCCATGTGAATTGCGACTGCCATCTGCCTGGTCGCAGGGAACAACCCCTCTGCTGTTCGTAAGGAACGGTCCCCCTTGCACATATGCCTCGTTTTACTTTCCACCTGCTGGGCAATGCCCGTCAACTGATCTCGAACCATGCTCAAGAATTCCTCTGTAGCTGCACACACTTGCGGCAACATTTCATGACAATTGATTGGCCAGCAAGTAACCTCAAACACAACCTAGAATTGCACACAGCGCACGCGCCTTCGATTAGTTTGAACAACCAGTAGCTATAGTACCTAAACGGACATCAGCAGCTGGCGTTGCTAATCCACGCCTGGCTCTCTTCGAGACCATCTTCGTAAGCCCAATAAGACTCTCGAATTGGATTGGCTCCAGTGATAGGAGAGCGATCTGTGTCTCTTCTCCATCTTGAAGAGCCACTGGCCCTGCACTGCAAGCTCTGCACAAAAAAAGTTGCCATTGCCATGTAATGTGAAGGCATGTAATATGCAATACGAATTCTTGGAATCACAATAATGACGCATACGTGGTTGAAAGAGCAATGCAGCGCTATTGCTGTACAACTTTGTCCTTGAGGTCGCTAATTAGACTAGACTGACAAGAACCATCAATGGCACAACAACTGCTTGCAGCATTTGAATGCGTACTCTGCAGGGTGGGTTGTCGAAGATCTTGAAACTTGTGAAGGAAAGAAACTGGCATGAGATCTTCCAATGTCCGAACCGTACAGGCTGAAGACCTCTTTTCTTCATGCATGTGTTTTCTACTTCACCTGCTTGAGTTGTTTGACGTTGTTCACAGAGGGGTCTTTACAGTGTCCAGCATGACCGTGCCACATTTTGCCATCAAAGCAACGGTTAATGGTTGTCTGTTCCAAAGAGGAACAAGAAGAAGACAAAGACTCGGCACCTGGATTCTGTGTCCTCCAAAGGTTCCGGCTCCTCCCATCCAGAGAAGAATCCACCTGACTGCCCAGTGTCGGACTGAAAACAATTCCGCTCAAGTCAGGCGTCCCGTTGAACTGAGACAGAACGATGCAATCTATCAGAAAGCTATCCCATCTATCTATCAATCTGTCAGATCCAGTCGATGGCCTCCAACCTAAGAGCGATGGCCTCCAATCATATCTTATTCAATGTGTCCGAAAGCTATCGGTTGTTCAGTCCGTGCCTGTGACGGGCTGCTCTGACCGCGGAGATGTGGATGAAGGGCCTGAAGGGCCCAGGGCAGCTGCCGCTGGCTCCTCCTTTGCTCGGATGGGAGCTCTCTTCCGCATGGCCACAGCCCTTGCCCGACGATCGTGGTCCGCTGCCAGGCTATACGAGTCATCCACACCGTGGAAGTAGTCAGGGCGGCCCTGTCGATGCCATGCTGCTTTCAGGGAGCGGCGATGTGCATCCGAGGGAGGGAGTTCAGGATAGGAGCCTGGTAAGTCAGAATGGGGGCAAATGGATGGATTCTCAACCACCCGACGTGCTTGAAGACGTTGCCCTTGATCATTTTGAGGTTTCACACAAGACAGGATCATCTTTGCAGTCAATGGCTTCTCACCATCCATGGAATATTCTTCAGGGCGACCGCCCGCTGAAAGTTCCGACACTGTGATTCTCAAGCTGTTTTGCCAGCTAGGACCCAGGAGGGACACTTCTGCAGTTGCGCTTCCTGCTGCCTCGGCGATGTGTGAGGCTTTCAACCACTTCAAACCCTGCACAATTGGCATTGAAAAGAGACATCTAGGCATTTCATTGCATTTCAACATGCACTTGTTTGTACTTTGTGATCTTTGTGGTGCTTTGTGCAACTCCTGATTGACTGAAAGAGTTTGATTGCGCTATCGGCTTCATCCCAAGTTCACGCTATCCAAGTGGCAATTGACTCCGGAATTGCAACCGTCATCATGCAGCGCTCTCCAACTTCATCTGGAAAGTCAGCAATGCTTCTTGCCAGTGTCACGCCGGCCTTCCAACAAAGCAGCCATCGAGAAGTTGTACAATAGAGCATTGCCATGCCACTAATGCACGTGAGACATTCAAAATTATCTATCTATCCATCTACCTATCTATCTATCTATCTATCTATGTGTCTATATCTACATACCTATCTATCTATACCTACCTGTAAACTGTATGCCTGGGAGTTGATGTGATTTGAGCCATCTGTGTTCAACTGATTGAAGGAGTATGGAACCAGCAGTGACAAGCATTCTTATTTCTGGCAGCGTTCTGGGAAATGAGTGGGGTTCGGTTGGATACCATTCCCCAAGGCGCTCATGATTAAACAGTAGCAACTTTAGGCTCATTGTTGGATGGGACCTTGTCAATGATGCAAAGCTCCGCCACGGTTCCAGGTTGTTGTCGGCGTGAGACTTGCAGGATCTCCGCACTCACCTGCTGCCATGACCGGTGACCACAGAACAAAGGCACCCAACAGCTTTGATGTGTTTTGCATTTATCACCATTTTGCTGCATGCTGTCAAGCTTCATAGCCATCCTGAGGAGGAACAGCCACTTGAGGATCGCTCCAGCCGTACATCCGCTCGTCCATAGGATTCGCGCGCATTCTCTGATGAGCTTCCAAGAGTTCTTCAGGAGGCACAGCTGGGTCAACACCTACAAGGGGCTTGGCAGCAAGTCAGCGTGGTGAAAACTTCCAGCCCTTGGAATCCGACCTGGCTTGCCCACCACATTGTCTGCATGATCAAGCCGGTTCTTGCGATGCAGCCAGTACCTCAAGTCGTGAAAAACATGGCGAGATCTGATGTGACCTGTGTGGTCGCCCTCATTCCTCAATATTGTCTAATTACTAGTAACACGGGCATCGCTACTAGGAACAAGTGCATCGCTACTAGTAGCTTCTTGCTACTAGCAATCCCCTTTGTTACTAGTAGATGTGTCAAATGCAGGCTGTGCTGCTGGTCCCCTTCAGCCGCCAGCCGCTCGTGGCGAAGCTGGTCCAAAACCCGCTTTTGTTCGAGTAGCACCTACCGGAAGGGCAAAGCTGGGCAAAGCAAATCCTCACAAGATCTCCGATGGAGGGGTGTCCTAGTTGAACTGAAACACATTATTGGCAACAGGTTTTGAGTTTTCCAAATCGCGCCTTTAAATGTTCAAAGGTAATTACAAGTCCTGTGAATAATAAACATTATGTTTGCCTTTTGACGTCTCACATGCCCTTCAAGTGGAACAATCCCTTATTACCTTATAGCCTTACTATAGTTGTTTATCAGAAGGCCGTGCCGAGATGACGGTCAGGTCGACTCACAATAAACAACACAAATGAAAACACAAACCCACACTCATCACAATAAAGGAGCTTATAGCAAAAAGGTATGAGTGGCCAAGGAAAAGTCCCCACATATCACAAATTATCAGTTGTGTGCTTCTTTGTGGTTGGCTTCGTCGGCCTTTTGCTGTTCTCGGAACTCCTCTCGCAAATCTCGTGGCACAGCATGTTTCAGGTGCTCTAGGGCTTTCTCACGGCCGCCACGACCGAGTTGCAATCCTCCAGCCGAGTGAGTGATAGTGAGTGTCTCTAGCTGGTCTGTGATTCACAACAAACTCCATTCAAGATTCACTTGGCAAACTCCCCCAGTCGTGGGACATGTCCGGAGAAGGAACATAGACTCAGACAACAAATGCTCACCCATGCTCACTCGCTCGCTCCAGCACAAAGGCACGCAAGTAAGAGTCAGAGAAACTAATTATATATTGTGTTCGTGCAGCCTACGCCAGGTCGTCATATTCAAAATTTTCTGAGTCATGTTACATTTGCTTTTTTACGCAAAGACCCTCCTGGACATCTGAAAATACGTGCAGCCGTTCTTTCGTTCGTCTTGCCAAAATCAACAGCACTAAGTGCCCATGCGCAGTCAAGCTTCCAATCTCATTGAGCTGCGAGCGCATGCGTGAGGCGTCACTCATCAGTTGCTGCAAGGACATATCCAGCCCATCCTGCCGGGGTGTAATTTGCAGTAACGTAGACTCTTGATTTGACGGCCTCACCCATTCGGATTGAACAACCTCTTCATATTGAATGTTTATTGATCAAGCGTCGACATGGACCAGTTGCTCCCTCTGTGATTGTGCCTCAATGGTCTAGAATTCACAACACGTGTGTGGCAAACATTGCGTCCCACGATCCGCGCGAGCGAAACCAGGGAGAAACGTGTCTGAACCGGCGGAGACCTCCCAGGGAGACCTCCCAGGAGACCTCCCAGGCAGGGAGACCTCCCAGGGAGACCTCCCAGGCAACGACCCGGTTGGATGTTTGGGGAAATCCGGGAAATCGACCAATCTATTCAGCCAGGGTGAGAGGGTCGTCCAAGGGGGTACAGCTCCTTGCGCTGTGCAACTCCGTTGGGGCCATGAAGCTCTCGGCTCTTTTCATCCGCTTCAGCTTGCTCCTGGAACATTCACGCGTCGTTACACGCTTGGCTCGTGACGTGCCTATTTATGGAGAGAAGTCTTTGACTTGGATTTTACGGAGAGAAGTCCCAGGATAACAGTCCTGCAGGTACCAAAGTGGCTTGTGAGTAGAACCTTGTCCCTAGAACTACTTCATCTGCTTGTCTCGACATGCTTCACGAATGAAAACCAATTATTTAGTAGGCCCCCCTCTCAACCCCCCCAGGAAAATTTTGGAAATTATTCTGCCCCCCCCTCGACATGGTTTTGTTGAACATTATTCCAAGGGACCCTTGACCTACCCCTGCCTAAGTTTATTATTCCAATAATTTATTTTGACAACAATATTCCATGAACCCACAGGACCCCTGGAATAATTATATAAACAAATACTCCATATATATGTTATGAAAAACAGTCTGGTTCCAAGATCATGCTCGTGTGGTCAGTGACGTCCAACACCAAAACGAACGTATTTACTTTTTATTTATGATTATTTATGTAGGGACTTGGGCCTGGGACTAATTACTTCGGCTCAAAACCGCCCAGGCCACAACCGTGGTTGCTGGCAAAGCATTTGGATATTTCGATGTCTGTGTGTCATTGTGGTTCGTACAGAGTTAAGTTATGTTGGCCATCTAATTGCCAAACCTACTAATTGTATCTAATTATGGGGTCGGTCTTGGCCTCAATCTGCATGCTTTCCATCCGCCTTCCGTCCACAGAGGTGTGCCTGGCCACCATCCTCTGTGACGACGCCCGTCTTTGACCGATGCCATGGTTACACTTCCATTGAGCTGTTATGCTTAAAATGCATTCCTTGGTGTCATGTTCTAAGGATTTTGGCTAGGTCCTCCAAGGGTGATTGGACTCCACTTCTTCAGCAGTCGCAGTCACATACATATTGGGTCGGTCCAGGGCTCTCTTTGCTCTACTAGTATCTTCATCCTCTGTCACCCCTCAGAGCACGTCCTGGAACTTTTGCCACATGGCTTGACCATGGGTGATCTCTTCCAGTGCACGCTCGGCACGTGAGGCTGGCAGTCGAGCCGCCAGGCGCTCCTATGTGTCATGTGGCACTTCGCATAGCACAAGACGGGAGCAAAGGGGTGTAGTACGTCAGTAGCATGCATCGAAACACACCAAAAACACATGAACATAAGCGCGCACACATTATTAAACACTCATCTAAAACATTCTAAAACCATCTAAACTCATCTGTCACGTGCTTGTTTGGGCATGATGGCCATGATGGCAACGCGACATTAGGCACATACTCTCATAAACACTTCTGACAAACGCAGTGCTCCTCTGCTGCACGTAGAGCTGCAGGGCCATTTGGAAGACCAGAGTCTGGCTGTACAGACCTGCCGTACCTGTTTGGACAAAACCAGCGGCCAACTTGGACCTCTGGAGTTATGCTTTGAAGTCTCACCCTTGCTGGAGTTCTTCGATTCTAGATTCATATGTATATATATATACATATATACTTCCATATATTCTATTTATGTTGTGTACTGTATGTATGTAATAAATACAAGTAAAAATACTATATATATGTACTATAACTATCCTTATATAAATATCTTTAGATTCTAGATTTGACACCCTTGACTGTTCCAGCTTTCAAGTCAGGACAAGTCAGGACCCGAAGGAACTGTGCAGAATGGATACTTTTGCTGGATCTTGAACTTGTCTTGCAAGGCATCCAGTTCCTTCACCAGCTCCTGTCGATTCATTGTCACCAGGACGAGCGTGAACCATTGCACGCAGGACGAGCGCGGTTGGGGGTTGCATCGCTCATGCGGCGATGAGAAGCAAGACGGAGGATGATGATGCTACTAGACTGGTCTAAACGAGCATGAGGCATGTCCGTTGACACTGGCCAGGCTGTGCTGTGTGTGCTAGCTGATCAGCCCTGCACCATTCAGCGACAGCAAGCAATCTAGCACTGCTGATCTAGCAGGGTAAGATTTGTTCTGTTCGCAAGTCCAAAGCCCTGCTTTCCAATGTCTGACGATCATGCATGATGAGACTCTAGAGCACTAAGTGGCAAGCAGGCCAAAGATAGTTGGAGTGGGATCCAGGGTCATGTGCACATGGCAAGAAACCTGTGCAGTGTTTGCTACTATGCCCGGGGCATCCAAACAGCGCCATATATGTCGCTTGATCTTGTCACGCTCATTGCAGTCGTTGGCTTCTGACCTTAGTGACTAAGTGCATAGTAGATCACAACCTCAAGCCCTGACCGCAGGGGCTGTACAAAGCAACCTTGTCAAAAGGTTTAACAAACATGGCGAGAAAAACATCGAAGAAACTCTTGGACTGTTTTCTTGGGGTGGGATGAGTGAATTGGATATGACTGGACCGTTGAACCTGTTGACTGTGCGAAGGCCATGGCATGAAGCGTTGAACTGCTTGAAGGCGCAAAAGCCACAGCTGATGGTCTCTGCACAAAGGTGGGCCTCAGCGGAACAACCAGAAAATTAGCAGACATTGAGAAAACAATGCGACGCCCTTGCTACTAGTAGCTTCTTGTTACTAGTAGCGATGCCCTGTTACTCCTAGCTTCTTGCTACTAGTAGTAATGCCCTTGTTACTAGTAGCGATGCCCTTGTCACTAGTAGCAATGCCCTTGTTACTGTACTAATACAAATTCTTTGGACCTATGCAATGCTCAAACATGGTCAAACCTTCATTGCATTGTTCTTGTCTTGTATTTTGGGATGAGAAGCAGCAAGCAAAGTGTGAACTGGCATGCTTGATGCCGATGAGCACACAAACATGGTGACATGTTGGACAACCTCGTAAACTTTATTTGCTGTATTTCCTTTTGGATAATTGCTCTCCAAGATTCCTAGTGGGACACTCTTTGGCTCGTTGCAAGGCCTGAGAAACTACCACCAGCAAAAGACTGTCCAGTGAAAAGCATAAGAAAACAGAACAAAAACCATCAACAGCCAATGAGGTTGATCAGCACATGAGACTACGAGTCCGCATTTTTCGATCGCGATCGCATGTCCAAGCTCAGCTTGAAGCCCTGCATAGCCTGCCAGCTGGCCCATGATCCACACCGGCATTCCACTCCGTAGAGGCCAAAAGACGTAAAATCGAGGACCAAGAGCTGAGAAGAATGTGTCGCTTGTGCTGCTCAGCTCTCCACCCTCTGGAATCAGGCCGTGTTTCAGACCCTGGATGTCCCCCAAGTACCAACACCAAAATAACAACTCGCAAGAACTTGGCACAAGCAAATGAAATACAAATACAAACAGGTCAGTTTACGCTGGCAACATCTTGATGTCCATTACATAGTGGGGAACATCCCGACTGCACCAAATTCGATCGTTCACCAGGTCAGTGAGCTGTGCTTAAAGTTGCCATCAAATCAGGGCAAAGCCTTCCTGACTGTTCATGGATCGCATTAATCCAGCGTGAGCATATCTATTGAAGCTATTGATTATCCGTGACGTGTTGTGATACTTGTTGTGACGTTTCTCGACGACCCACAGCTATGTCAAGCACGTGGAACACACTAAAATCACTATATAAAACAAACACCGGACAATAATCCAACTTATATAGAAGGAAACAATAAGCTACTAGGAACAATAAGCTACTAGGAACAAGTGCATCGCTTCTAGTAACAAGTGCCTTACTAGTAGTAACAAGAAGAAGCTATTAGAAACTTCACGAGTCCACTGGCACCACAAAAAAAAGCTCTCCGAAGCAAGCAGCACTTGACCGTGAGGCTGGTGAAGTCCTTAGACCTCACTTTGCGGCTCTTGCAACAGTGGCTGCCGCAGCCAGGTGGACTGCACCCGCTTGAAGAGGATAGCACCCATGGCAGGAAACCTGAGTCATGCTAACTCGATCTCCTCACAAGGCGTTTCCATCGTGCACGAGGCGGTTCCAGCCATATTTTCCTATCTTGGCCTGGCCTGTAAAATTATCATAAGATACAGTATCACATATCTGTGCGAGTCATTAGCAAAGCAAGCCCAAGGAACACGGCGGCCAGCATCATGAAGGGCCACAAGTGATCCCACCAATGCTCGTGAGCGACGTGCATCTTGGAATGGTGCTCTTCGTGACTTTCTGCCCTTGGGTCTTCCTCCGCCAGGAAGTTCACGTCTGCTCCTTCCGATGTCAGCTGAGATTGAGGGTGTCCGTCCCACTGTCCCTAAGTTTGCCTGATCTTAAGTGTCGTCTTTCACCTCCCTCTCTCTCTCTCTTGCCCTTCTCGGTCTGTCGAGAAATGCCTTAAGGAATCACTGTTGGCATTGGATTCTGCAGTCTGACATCTGCATGGGCTACAATCCGTAAAGGGGGACAGTAGACCACACCTCGATCAGTAACATGTTGATACATTGTTTTATGTCTGGCATGTATGATATCACCATATACCCTATCGTTTGCGTTGCGCAAACATCTATGCCAATAGATTAGCAGCATGCTGGCAATGACCACGCAGTCGCCATAGCAGCGCGACAACCTTGTTTCAATCTATTGTCCTTGATTTGACATCTGGAAAGGCCACAAATGGTCCCACCAATGGCCGCTGGTTTCGTGATCGTCCTTCTTGGCATCGTCAACTTCATGTTTCTCGTGATGCCTTTCCTCATGGTCCTCATGGCCATCATGTTCTGCATCCAACTGGAAAGGCCAAAAGCTGCTCCACCAATGCTTGGGGCTTTCAGTCTCTTTGTCGCTGTCTTTCACCTTGTGCTCATCTTCCTTATCCTCATCTTTCTCGTGGCTGTCATGACGTTCCTCGTGGCGTTCTTCCATGAGATCCACCGGAAGTGCACCCTTGTCTGAGAGCTGGTTTGGAGAGATTAACTCGGCGCAAGCGAAAGGCACAACAAGCAACAGCATCGAGATGATGGCCATGGCTGGTCTAGCAGCACTTGAGGGCCACACAAGCTTGTCACCTCCAGACTTGATCTCAAACTGGGCAGCATCAAATCTGAGTTCACCTATAGCAACCGCCAAGGAGAAAACAAAACCAAAATTCCGCACGTCCCGCAGCAACGGTCGGACAAACGCATAAACATACTGTACAGTAAACACACCAAATCCAACTCTTGATGCACTTAGTGGTGAGAATAATGTTCAACCAAAATCAAGTGCTTCGCCAAAAAAAAAGATCTCAACAAAACCAGTGCCATTGTGTATATCAATGGAACCCAGTGCGGGGTTATATATGTCGGAATTTGCGTGTAGGAGTCTGGGGGCGCTCTTCAGCAAATAGCTATCTTTGAAGTGCATGCTTAAAAAGGCTTCAACACAACAACACACATACGGGCATCTGGGTGACTCGCCCAGCCAGCTGCGCGGATGGTGCCTGACCAAGCTGTTTAACATGACGTAAAGGTGCCAATGTCTTTCGAATTCCAAGCTTCTGAGCCTCAATCCTTACAAGGGGCCACCACGCTGGCGGTTTCCGAGCCTCTGTGTGTTCCGGTGCTGGAGGCCTTTCTCTCTCACCTTGCGGCCAGGAGCTGATTGAAAACAGGCTCCGCTGTTTGCTTCGTGACCTCGAAGATCTCGCTCTGTCTTCGCCTTGACGTGATGCAATCGCATCTCCGCAGGAAGACTCACTTTGGTCAGCGGCCTCGCAGCTTGGAAGAGATGGATGTTCTGATACCAGGGTGGGGGTCTAGGGAGCCATTTTATAGATATAAAATGGTGTGCATTGCCGCGGCACAAGGGGTCTGGCTATAAAATGAGGAGGAGTGACCTCACAAAGCATTTCAAAAATTGAGGGGGGCTGACCTCAAAACACATCTCCGACACACACGAGTAGCACTATAAAATGGCAACACGTCCCTGCATAGAAAGAGCATAGGACATCAAGAATGACTTCCAGAAGCTCCATCACGGAACGACCATAGGAAGAGTCTCCGGAAGTCCTTCTCTGCAGTTTGCATAGGCACGATAAACCATGTGGAAATGCTAGAGTTGATAGCAGTGGCAACGGATATTGGTGGTGCAATCTGCTCACTAGAAAAACGGATCGAGATCCCAAATAGTGCAACGACTCAAATTGTGCAAGCCTTCCAAATTGCGCAATTCTTCCCAATGCAATCACACCTGTGTTCCTGGGCTTAGGATACAGTATACCTTCTCAGGTCAAGTCCAGCAAGCCCGCAATGTTGGGCACCTCCTTTTGGAAAAGAGACGGCCACAGGACTGCGAGAATGATCCTGGGAGGTGCAAGTGGATGAAACTGGAGCATGGAAAAACATTCTGCAAATGGGCATGCAACAGTTTTGTACGGTCAACTCAAGTATACGGTATACGATAGTATACGTCTCACTCTTAGGAAACCTATACATGGAAAGAAAAACAAACTCAAGTCAAAGCATAGGTCCGGCATGGTCCGGCTGAGACTGTCGCAGTCCCAGGAGTAGTGTTGCAACGAACCACGCCAAATCACCACCTCAGAAGTTGACCGTCGATGTTCTATATGGTTTGCATTTCTTGGCGACCATCGAGCTGGAAAGCGAATGAAGTGGTTGCCCCAGGATGCCCCAGGCAAAGGTAGTCACACTACGCCATGCAAGGAACCTCTGTTTTGTGTCTCTGAGTTCAGCTCCGGAAATGATGTCCATGAGTCCGTCTTGGGCAAGCCAAACGGCTGAGTGCTATTGAAGTTTTTCATAGTAGTGCTTTCTTTACACATTGTGGCGTATTGAGCAGCATAGACCTATCATGACAGCGACATGTAGAAGCTGGCTATCTAGTTGTTCTAGCATGCAGAACTGGGCATCTTGTGAAATTGACTGTCAGCTCATTTCAAGCCCAACTGAGTCGTGCTGTACAAAGCTATGACAAAAAAGCCAGCTCTTAGTGCCTTCTGTGAGCAGAAGCGGCTTCAACAATTTTGCAAGCTCCCGCCAAAGCCCTTCAACTGCAGGTCACGCAGCGCATAGGTTCAAACACTGGTTCAAACATATGCGCAATCAATGCGAAATGCAGGCCAGCAAGTTTGGCGCACGGCGCACAATGTGGTTCTGTTTCCGATGGCTTGTCAAGTATGCTCTGTACAGCAACTTGGTCGGTTCTTTGGGACGATCATGCAGTTGAACATGTCAGAAGAACCAAAGGAAAATCAAGCTACTGACAGCATAGACGCCAAATGGTGCCACGGAACTTGTGACGAGGAAGCAGGTTTGAAGTGAAAGGTGCTACAAAGGCTTTTAGTCAAAAAGCTGTCACTGTTCACTTTTTGCACGACACTCTTCATTTCTCAAGAACACAAGGCGTCCTTGTATGCCTGAGCTAGGGCGCTTGTACTATAAGTCGTATCCAGCCAGGCGGTCCACCTCAATCTAACCTCGTGGTGAAATGGGAGAGACCCCAAGGACACAAGGTTGCATAAGGAATCATGAGGAGTCATAAATGAGGTCTTAGGGGTAGATAACTTGAGGTCCTAGTTACAATAGAGTGTACATGGTATTTTCATCTATTTTCCATGTGTGCTTGAAATCTCCACTTGTTTCTGCTATACTCAGTAAGCTTTGGCTGAAGAACACGCTGGCTTAGGCTTCAACGTGACATGCTTGTAGCGCTTGCGCGGAAAATCTAGTCTTCATCATCCCTTGGTGGGGTGGCATCTTGCAACATACACCATCATGCGCAGCATCATACTGCAATGTCAGTGACAAATGCATATTAGACTTTACATGCGAAGCACATCGTTCAGCAGCTTAGGGGATATGTCCATGTCATGATGTAAAACACATGTTGGGTTCTGAGTGGTGGGTCCTTTGCGGATTCTGTTTCACCCTTACGGATCTGCCAAGCTGCAAGTCTCTGCCTGTGTCTTTCTTGTAGATCTGAAGGCAAACATATCAGAAACTGCTTGGCACAAGTAATCTGTCTTCCAACTCCCGTCTGTCAACCATGGATCGCAGCGCTTCTCGAACATGACCATGCGGTTCCATGGACATGGAACGTCTCAAACATCGTTGACGTGGCGCGATGTCTCGTGACGCTGCCTATGTGCGACACCGAGCACGGCGTGCCTCCCCCAAGTCCAGAAGCTCGTCATTCCTTGGATCCTTCCCTTCCCACAGTGCCTTGACCTTGCTTCAAGCATTCTGCGCAGAACAATGCAAACAAGAACAGTCCAGCCTATTTACCCTTCAAAACATCCGAACCCAAATTCTTGGACAAAGCTCTTGTGAACTAATTGTGAAAAGGTGGCTTGACGAAGGGTTTGAACATCTCAAAAACATTGACTAGCCTCCCCAGAACAGTTCCAAAACTAGGCTCAAACTAAAACCCTAGTCTACTACGATTACTTTGCAAACGCTCAAAGAGCAGTATGTCTTGATCAAATCAGGCCCGAAGACATCGTGGACTTGAAGCTGGAAGCTGTATGTATGACGTGACGGTGCATACGTCATGTGAGCACATGTTCGCACAGGTTCACAGTACAGTTAGCATCCATCTCTCTGGCCGTGACCTGCAGAAGGAAGGTCAGCTTCGGAGTCAGTTTGGGCAGCTTGTCATGTTCAATGAACTCGAAGGCACCTCATTTCCAGGCATCACACACATGTTGTGGCTTTGGGTGGTGTTCACATCAGAAAACCTGTCACATGGCAAATAACATCTAGAACTGTGCAAGGTGCACTGTTGTCTTGTGAATGTTTTTGATTCCCAATGCTAATGGTGTATGGGCAGCCGTGTGAAAGGTGGGACTTGTTCATGCCAGGATATGACATTGCATGGACCGAGTGTTCCCACCTAGCACATCAGCAGGGCAGCCGTAGACCAGCAGCAAGTTAGCCAAACCAGCAGCAGAAGATCAGCAGCAGCAGCAGCAGCAAGCAGCAAGACAGCAAAACCGCGGCAAACCAGCAGCAAAGCCAGCAAAACCAGCAGCAAAAGACCAGCAAACATCAGCAGCACCAGCAGCAAACCAGCAAATGAAGTACAGTAGCAGAGGTCATAACATGTGCAACCCCTGAGCACAATCTCATCTTCTCTGCATCTATCTACCCACCTGTTCCTTGACCCCTTCTTTGCTACTAATTCTAATTGGATTCTAATTAATTACTTAATATTCTATATATTGTTTCTACTAGCTTCTTGTTCCTAGTAGTATGGCCAGGAGCCCCTAGTAGCGTCCTTGCTCCTAGTAGCGATGCCAGGAGCCCCTAGTAGCTTCTTGTTCTCTGCATCTATCTACCTGTTCCTTGACCCTGCCGGTGAGAGTCACACCTACAGTTCTTCCTTGCTTTGTGATGTGCTCTTATCGCGGGTCTCCGTAATAGGGGGCAGCCCGATCATACGCTTGTAAAACGCTAAAGCACAAGCAGAACGCTGAAAGCACCGACTTCTACTATCTAGTAGTCTTCCAGTGTTACTGCCCTTACGGTTACAAGGCAGCAGCTCAAAACCGATTGAGCGACACCCATTGAGCGGCGTAAGGGTCGAACTGGCTCTTCCTCGAATCTGCTCGATGGTCCAGCCCTTCTCCTTCAGATCCTGTCCACTGTCTCAGTCCAAAGGCTCACAGCCTTTGGTCCCTGGCTTTGGGGTGGCTGGGGATGTGAGAAAAGAAAATTCAGAAGTCACTTCTGGCCTTAATCATATTTGCCTCAATTGCAGCCATTTTCATCTCAGTGCCTCGGTCATCAAATGATAACCTGCATCTTGCACAACAAACCTCACCGTGATTCCAACAGGTGGCGCTGATCAACTATTCTATGTCAGTTATCTACCTCCTGAAGTTTCACGAACGACTGCCGGCGCGGCAACCTACACAGGATCTTTAATCTACCAGGGATCCGGCATGCAAGGGCATAGTCCTGTGCGATGCACTCTGTGCAAAGGCACTGTCAACCAACAATCTATTGCGAAATGCGTCTGATGCTCCTTCTTACTCCACATAGGAGGATTTCGATAGCCAAAGGGCGTCAAATATCCAGGCTGCCGCCACCATTTCTGGCAGGTCAACAGTCGAATCAACACGAATATATTTATATATATATATAAGTATAACTATATATATATATTCTAATGAATCAAGAACTGATTCTGGCTATATACGTTGCTTATTTCGTGCTACAAATCAACCGCCAAAGCTTGACAGTGGTAGCCATGAAAAACCAGAAAGGTGCCAAGTGCGCAAAAAATGACACATCTGGCCTTGATCATGTTCTTGGGCAGGTCTATCCACTTTCCCTGCTCTGAATCCCAGCCAGTCTTGAAGTCCTACCAGCGGTGTGCGAGGGACATGGCATGTCAGGCGCTGTCGCAGGCGCTGTCGCATGTCGCAGGCTGCACAGCACGCTCATCTGCAGTCCTTGGGGTCTATCCGCCACACACTGTCCAATTCTAATGCCGCCTCAGATGATCTGAACGAACCGGATGGAACTGGACATCTGGAACCAGTGCATTGGCCTTGGAATGAACAATCATCTGCAGCCCATCTGGGCCCAGGACATCTGGAGGTAAGCGAGTTTTGCCGGTGGCCTTATCATCAAGCTTAAACCTGCAGGTTCTGAAGGCTTTATGAGAACAAGGAACTCCTTACCTCTAGTGTTGGTTGCATCTCCTAATTCTCAAAAGAGTTTTGGTCAATTAAGTTTGCACCCTCTCTCTCTGCCACATGTTTTCCAAAAATGGATCTGCGGCTCCAGCCCGCACGCTTCGGGACACCGTTGGCTGCCGGGCCGTCTGGTAGACGCCAACCTTACGTGAACATTGCATCCAACCAGTTGTGGAGAGTCCGACGCCGGGGAGGAGCACGTAACTGCACCTTCCTTCAATCTTTGGTTGCAAGGGCCTCCTTCATAAAAGGACACCTCCAGCTGCATGGTGAAAGCATACAAGGTCCACTACAGAACTCAAATTCCCTCAGCATGTCCTCCCCATTCAAAAAAGGGGTATGCAAAATAGCCCACCAGGCCCCCACTGCTCTCGCGTGGCACCAGCAACATGAGCAAACACTAGCCTTCGAAGCTTCGCAAAGCTTCGCAGCCAACAACTGTTCGGCACCCTTTGACCTGCTTTGGGTCATTCAACTTCGCTCCCGCACCAATGTGGAACTCCATGAATCAAGTCACCAGCAGCAGCAGCAGCAGCAGCACTCAACCTTCTTTCACCCTCAGGGTCTTGACGCCGACCATGAAAAGTGTCAGGTAACGTCTTCCAGCCAGCTTTGTCATCTGAGGCTCATGCAAAATTAGCAACGTACAGGTTGCTAACGAGGAACACGGCGGCCAGTCCTGTCAAGCCGTGTCTCCTTTCTGCACGATTCAGGAAAGTCTCTATTGCTTCAGATGGGCTACAAGTGAGTCTTGCAAAGGACAAATCGATATATGATCAGAGGCTTCAGCACTCAAGAGAAGTGATTCTGAATGGGATTGAAAAGATTCAGCACTCAAGAAATAGTTCTGAATGAAAAGGATTAAAAGGGCAGAATGCATGTGCCACACTGCCTGGCAGTCTCCAAGGTTGAAGCCTCCTGAGAACCAGATTCATTCTTACTGACTTTGTAGTGATTGTTGGCATATTCTCATTGTCATCCAAGGCTTGCAGCAAACATTTCTGGGAAATAGTTTGGTCATATGACATATTACTATATATAATTATGTGCTGTTTGGGCCTCATCTCGTCAAGAAGCACAACAGAGTCCCCAGAACTATAACAGCAGGGCTCTCGCCTCCTTTGCGGGCAAGGTGGCTGCATGCTGAGCATGCCTCGAAGGATGCGCGCCACCCACATCGACATCGTTTCATGTTCATGCAGCATGACTCACATTTGTTTCACATGCTGGACCTGCAATTTTTAGCTGGACTTGGACGAACGTTGAAAGCTGCAAGAAACCAAGCAAACACCAAACAGAATCTGCTCAAGGCCAAGCAGGAGCCTGCAGCCTCCGAAGCAAAGGGCCCGAAGGCAAGGAAGCACTCAACACCCAGCCACCCAGCACTAGAATCACTGCAAGCCATCAAGAGAGGATGCATGAAACTGTGGTCCTTGCATGGCAAGTAGGTCGGGCCCAATGTTGATCCACACGCACACATACACATACATATATATATATATATATCCCAGCGTTGCTGGTATACCGTTCAAGCATATAGATCAGATGCGCAAGCTTCCTGCACTGGTCCAGCCGAAGCATGGACATGCTACACTTGCACAATCATGATACAAACAAGCCGCAGCTTCTTCAGTTGGATTCACATTTCCGACATACCATTTTGTGCCACCTGCAAGTGCGCTGGGCGGCTTGTGTGCGCTCGGACATTCTGAATTCATCTTTCTGAATTTCAGGACCCAGCTGTTGCAGCCGCCGCAGCTGTTGCAACTGATCCTTCACCGCATGAAGTTTCTGCGCTCTGCTCAGCAGCCACTGCCGTTGTTCGGCTCGACTGAACTCTTTCGCTTCTGCTTGGACAAGTGCTTCTCCAGGGGCAACTGCTCGCTGCTCAGCATGCTTGGCTTCCGGAGGAGCTGGCAAAATGGCGTTGGCATTGTGGCCTTGGCTGTGCAAAGGCTTGGCTCTCAAAAGCAACCATTGGCAGTGCAACAAGAACGAGGCCAAGACAAGAACAAGAACAACACCAACACAAACACCAATGAGGATAAGACACCGCATTTGCACGCTGTGACGTCTTCTGCGAGCATGCTTTGGCATGCAGCGTCTACCTGGTGCGCAACTTCAACAAAGTTGGCATCTGCAAAACATCCGTGATAAAAACCATCAAAATCAATTCGAAGTGTGTGAAACAAGAGCAGCGTCCAGCAGTGTCCAACCCCCACTTGGAAACACCATCTGCAACATGCTTCAAAACGCGCCCAGTCCAAAGCAATACTCGTGAATTGCAATGGTAACTGGCAGCTTCCCATGATCTCATCATCTTGGTTGGGGTGATGTCACTACCCCCCAAAACAAGCACACAAATGCAAATACTTCTTTCAAGTTGTTGCTACTCCTAAATTCTGTTGAAACGTCCACCCTTATCAAACCCAACTTTTAAAGGTGCAGCAGGTTCAAGAAAGGGGTTGAACATGACAATGAAGAGGTTGATGGTTTTGGATTTTGTTGATCTGATTTCCAACCAAAATTCTACTACTTTAAGTACAAGTAACTATTTATGCAATATATATATATATTCGTGGCGTGCCCCCTTCCCATTTTGAATGCTTTCTTGCTGTGTTCCGGTAATGCATCGGGGCTTTTTGTGCGTGACGGGACCAGAGTGTCCCCCACGCCATCGACGCGCATTGACCGTCCGATGAGCGAGGTGTTATGCAATACATATATATATATATTCGTGATTGTTTGTGTGATGTGAATCACACTGTCAATACTGTTCACACATTTTTTGCTCCCTAGCCGGGTCCCCTAGGCCCGAGCCGCCCGAACTTGGCACTCGTTTCGTCCACTTGCAGTTTCGGGCTTCGCGAGTTCCGTTCCGCTTCAGGCACCTTTTGGTGCTGCTCCGCTTCTTCTCGGCGTCGCAGCTGAATCTCGGCATCGCTTCGCAGCGCGTGCAGCCGCTGGAGCAAGGCGCCACCGGAGGCCTCCTGCTGCAAGCACTCGGAGAGCTCTTTTCCTCGGGTCTTGTGATCGGCAGCGGAACCAAAACACCGAGCAACTGATGCAACCTGAGGAAAAAAGGTGTGACTTCAAGCGAATCTGCCAGTGCGAGGGCTGCCAATTGGTTGGTTTGGTGGTAGCGTGTGGGCTCAGCACACAGGTCCAAGTTGTTCACAAAGCCACGTAGCTCATCCTGTCTCTTCCGCACAGCTTCAGCTTGATGCACCTGAACTCCTGTCTAAATGCAAGTTACCAGTCACTCTTGTCTTGTACGTGTCTCCTTGATTTGCAAGTTTCCGACCATCACTGGCAAACTCTTCGCGCACCATACAGTATATAATCCTTCAACGTCCAAAGTAGTGCCCGCTGTCCAAACATCGGCACTAATGCCTGTGCCGGGGCACAGAACTGCCAGAAGGTCATCTCGTTGATTCAAACTTGACTAATTGCGTAATTCTGTGAAGCCAGCAACTGTATGTTCACTAAATCTGATTGATGGTTGATGGTCCGGTAGCTTTCTGCTTCCTGTCCTTGAGCAGCATGTTCTGCCTTGCCATGGGCTGAGACCAGCAAAGGTGGAAAAAAAACAAAAAATAAAACATGTTCGAGTCTTAAGATTGCACGTGGAACGAATTCTTGCAACCGCAAAACAGGGACACGAGACAAACCGGGTGATATTCTGTCTGGCAAGTCAAGATCCGTCAAGTCTAAGAAAGTCCGTCCCAACAAAAGTTGTGTCTTGCTACTTGTCACAAGCAATCCCCGTGAAACCTGGGTGAGTCAGTTCAGCACACATCCAGTCACGGCCTCGGCCAGTTCTTCTCTCAGCACTGAACGTTCAGTAGCCACACGCGCATCAGTGGCACGGTAGGCAGCTCGGGCATCATCCAAGTCAGCGCATGCCTGGGATCAAGCAAGCGAGACTATTCATAAGGTTTGGGGGCGGCTGCTGTTAAACTGACAAACATCATCATGCGGCGAGAGTTCATCACTGTCCGCCTTTTCAAGTACTTTCCTGTCATCCCGAGCCCTGGTTGCTGTGAAGTGTCCTCTTTCAAAGCATTGCCTCAAATGCGCCGTCGCAAAAAACGATGTCTGCCAACGGGTGTTGTGGCAAAAAACGCTGGACATCAGGTCGGGAAGAATCTGTCCACTTAACAAATCAGGTCGAAGTCCTGTCCAACACATGCGCTGACCGAATGGCACAAAACAATAGCTAAAATCAATGAGCAGCAACTAGCAGCCTAGCACCACCCAGTTTGGGTGGTTCTTGGATGGTAAATGGATCTTCAGGGGGTCTATAAACCACCCTTGGGGTTGCTGGAAGAATGAAACAAACACAATCTGATGCTCAAAGCTTCTCAGCAGAGTCTGGCCACAATTGCTAATTCTACATCCAGCGGGAGTTGTCTGAGGGGCTCTCTTCTACTTGGTCGCTCATGTTAGAGTCCCCTTTCAAGCTTTGCAATGACAAGCCTTGGGTTACATGAGTACTTACACTTGGTCTAAAGAAACTCTTGTGCAAATCCCTCTGAGTCACGAAGTGATGCAACCTGAGCTTGGAGCTCTTCCACGGCAGTCTGAGTATCCTAACGCACCCCCCAAAAAAAAGAACTGTCCATCAACCATTCCGCTCGCAGTGCAACTAGGCTCCAAAAGCCGCACAATTCTTAATCACACAATAGCCAAGTGCTGTCCTCGGCCTCCATCTGCTTCTGCTTCAAGGCATCTTTCGCTTGCCTGTATACCTCAGCTGATGTTTTCACATGGCATGGCTGTCCTCGTGTCTGAGAAGTTTAGAGTTCTTGTTGCGAAATGCAATCACGGGTCTCTCTTGAGGTGGTTACCTTAATCCTTCTGCCAGGTCTTGAACACATGATCACAGCCCCGAAGTCTTTCGAGCCCAATGATCTGCTGTCAAGCAACCAGTCGCCACCTTAGGAACACCCATTCAATTGTGCCCATGGTCTCTACCACATCTTGTGCGACACGATCCTAGGTGCTTGGTCCTTTCCCACCGCCTACCTGACAATTGACGTGTGTTCTTAAGGGACATATCTTTGGTCATTACTCTCGGACATGCGCCACCAAAGCGCTCTTCGGCTGCTTCATGGTGGCGCAGTTCATCTCGCTCCGCTTGCCTGCTGAGGTCAAAGATTTCCTGCGAAAGAAGTCGACGCGTGTCTCCAAAATGGAGCCAAGTCGTGGTTCTATGTCATTCTATACAGTTGTATGGTTGGCATAAACTTACCGGAACCTTGACCTCCGGTGCTGCTTGGTGAATGAGTTTGTAGCTAGACAAACTACCATCTAAACTTGTTCAAAGGCCTCGAGTGTCTCCAGAAACAACTTAATACACCCCTAGGGCCCATCTGGGCCCCTAAACACATCTGAGTGACGCTGTTCTGGCCTGCTGAGCGATCTGAATCTGATCTGCAAGGTGAGCTTGCATTGCCACACTGGTGCCATCTGCCATGCCAGTCAGCAGGAAATGTCAGTTGCACCCCGTGAAGCTGAATGTCATATCATAATCACTTATGCGTGCATGACAAAATACTATAAAGATATGCCCTGCGCAACACAGCAAATTGTCGAAACCATGCTTGACCTGTAAGTCCTTGATATGGGTGCCTCCCTTCAAAAGTAGTCTGTTCTAAGTCCTACTCGGAGTCTTAAGTGCTTGCCTGCCCCCTGGGATTGCCAGCTGCTCTGCCACAAGTGACGCAAGGCTTTCTCCTCCAATCGAAGCCGCTCCAGTTCATCTGCTGCAGCCTGTGAAACGTGTGTGTGTCAAACTCTGTAACTAAGAGTTCTTTTTCCTTCCTTTCTTCACATTCAAGCAGGGGGCAGCAGGGAATCCACAGTTCTGCTGCCAACGAAGACAGCTGTGGACTTTCCGTGAAGAAGATTGGGACGCCAATTTGTGTACCTGCAACCAACTTTTGACCAAGCTGTTACTCCACTTTTCCACTTCTTGATTCCATGGTCCTTGCATGATAGATCCCTAAACATCTTTTCCCACCGCTGATATGCAGCCGCGCTGATCGTTCTGCAGTCGCGCAAAACAACTTGTTCAACCTTTCAAGTGAGCTGACTCTCTCGCCATGCTGTTCCCTCACCATTTTTGACCTGGGAGTTGAGTTACCGCTCAGTCGTCCCACTTGGGTGCTGGGTGTGATCCTCCACAAGGAGGCGCCGTTTTCATTCAGGAATTCGTGTAACTGATTTCACCGTCCCCACCGTACTTCGGATTCTCTTAACTGATTTGGTTTCACCACTGTGTTCCCTGCCTTTTACGCCGCCGGGCTTCACGGAAACACCAACTACTGGAATTCGACTCACTTCCACGCTTGTGTTGCATGCATGCTTCATGTTTTACGCAGCTTGATTTCATTTTCAAGTATGTACAGCACCACTTTCACGACCACGGTCAGTGTGTGACGAGGGACGTTACTTTTCACATTTCCTTAGATTCCTTCCATGCTGATTTCTCTAACTCACAGCAGCTGCCACGGCCGAAGGGCTAGTCCGCCTGTGCGTCCTGAAGGGACACGCAGCAAGAGACTGCGAGCGACCCCCGAAGTCACAGAAAACAGAAGCCACCTTTTCCACATGCGCCGGAGCCGGCTTCGTGTGTGTGTCAACCTCTGTAACTAAGAGTTCTTTTTCCTTCCTTTCTTCACATTCAAGCAGGGGGCAGCAGGGAATCCACAGTTCTGCTGCCAACGAAGACAGCTGTGGACTTTCCGTGAAGCAGATAGGGACGCCAATCCGTGTACCTGCGACCAACTTTTGACCAAGCTGTTACTCCACTTTTCCACTTCTTGATTCCATGGTCCTTGCATGATAGCTCCCTAAACATCTTTTCCCACCGCTGATATGCAGCCGCGCTGATCGTTCTGCAGTCACGCAAAACAACTTGTTCAACCTTTCAAGTGAACTGACTGAGTTAACGGCAAACCAATGTCAGAGTGTGTGTGTGTGTTTTCATGGCTGAACCTGCAGAAGTTGCCACGTGGAAAGCCGCTCTAAAAAAGGTACGCACATGCCTGCTTTCAAACAGCAGTTGGTATGGAAGCATGCTAAGCTGCTCAAAGATTGTCAGCATCAATAGCATCACTCTATCTGACTCACCCTCAGTTTTCAATTTTCCTTCACAATGAGCACTCAAAGCAACCCCCAAAAGCCTCGGCCAAAGACCGCATCTGTGGCGCATGCAGCCCACTCAAGGAAAAGCTCGTGCTCGAAGGGCTCGCCCCGTTGGCCTCAAAGGGAGGCACCAGTGGAAGAGGCTATACCGAATATGCATGTGCCCATCGAACATTTGATGCCGGTCAACTGTCAATGCTCTGCTCCTCGATGGCAACTTTTGCATCTTCAACATGAACACAATGTCACGCAAATTTTGGACAGCTGTGAACAGCCAAAAGGCCTGCAACTCCCAAGGTCCAGATGCCCCATTGGGAAGCGCCCTGACTAGCTCTACCTTCCTGAAAGCAGCGCACTTTCCAGCTTCTGAATCCCATGGGTTGGAGGCTGGAGGAGAGGTTTGTCGAAGATCAGCCTTAGAGATGCAAAGAACTCACGAACCAACTTCAAGAACCAAAAGCACATCAAGAGGTCAGTCAAACATCTTTCACTCTAACACCTGCAGTGCAATTGACCTAACTGACCTGTGTTTGCAAACACCTGATCGGAAGAAACAAGGCTGCTTAGCTATATTAATATATATTAAGCTTAAGGTCTTTGCCTTCGTGATCAATGAGGCGATCGCAACTTGCCTAAGGGCCGGCCCTGTAAACCCTATATCCTATATACGGTGACCTCCTAAAAAGCATAATAAACACGTGGTGCATTTTAGGCACTTTCGTTCCCAATCACACACACACACACACATTTCACATGTGTGCATAAACATGTACACTATGTATATATATATATAGTAATAGTTTATAATGTGTATATACAGTATATATAATATTCTCCTCCCTCCCTCCCTCCCTCCCTCCCTCCCTCTGTTTCCTTACTTATTGTGTCCAGCATGATGTTCCTCGGGCCGCGTGCTATCACTCAACGTGTAAACCTTTTCCCATACCAAAAGTGATGCCTAACCATTGATGAGTTGAGTACTGAACCAGTTTTTGAAATAAATGCCAGCCCCAGCTAGTTTTGAACACTTGGTGTCAACACCGCACGCACTAGTCACTAGGTGTCATGGGCTGAAAGGACGCTCGTGGCATGCTTTACTGCCATGAAACCTTTGGCTCCGGCAGCCTCAAACGGCCAGTCTCTTCCTGCCTGGCAAAGAAATTGCAAAATCCACTGCAATGTGTCCAAATCATTCCAAATCAACCATTGCACAAAGGAACGAACGGGAACACTCATGCAGCAATTTCACGTGAGCCCGCCCTTTTCTCTGCCTTAGCCGAGTTCGCTAGTCTGAAGGTGAGACCAGGCGCCTTGTGCACCTGAAGGGACGTGATAAAAACCATGTCCACCAACAATAAGTCCACCATGAATTTCAGGAGCCAAACAGTTAGTAAAATGAGGGAGCACTGAAGTCTCTGATTGAAACATCAGCGTCATCATCAGGCTTTTGCAAGCCAGCCTGTCCAGCTTCCCCAATCTCCTGCCAGCTCATTCCCAAATCTTTCATGATTCTCTGGAGATGTGGCATCACCTCACTGGCTGGGACATGTAGGCTGAACTCCAACCAGACCTTGCGGAGCTGTGTTCCGAGGCAGGGAGCGGCAAAAGAGTCCGTCATTGACGAGGTGCGGTCAGCGGAAGTTTAAAGAAGCACCAAGGTTGAGATTCAAACAACACATCAAACAAAATGACACAACACACATGATTCGTACTTAGCCACAAATATTTTGGATGCTAGCGAAAAGTAAATCATGGCCACAAAATGACAAGAATCCAAACACCAGGACAAAGAATACGTCAATCATCGAAACCAAGGAACAAAGACCTTCAACTCAGCTTCATGGAGGTCCTCCCATTGTAGGCGGTCCTTTCTGTCCATCTTCCGGATCTCAGCCGCCAAGCGTCGGATCTTCTCACGGTCGCCCCGCTGATGAAACTTGAAGGCTAAAACCAGGCACGCTCCGGCCAACAGCTTGGGACTGGCCTTCCGGACGCAGTCCTTGCGCATGGAAAATGGATTGATCTGAATGTTCGGGGCGAAACGTGATGCCTGTTCTTATAATTGTGCCACCTCTTCAATCATGACAAACATATGGCACATAATAAGGAGTGGCATTCCGGCATGTCAACATATCAAACAGCACCCAATGGCACAAATCAATCCACTAGTCACAAATCCAATATCAACGAATTATCAACGAATACACGATCAACTGTCTCGTCATGACTTCCACAACGAAGTGCGCGTTCTTGCTGAGACGGTCACGTCTGACTTCACTCATTCAACCCATCACTGGTCCTTCAGAACAAGCTTTTCAAAATAGACCCACGCCAAGGCAACAGAGCAAACATCCAGTTCGTGCATTCTCTCGGTGATTTCTCGCAGATCTTTTTGCAAATTCCGCAGCTTGGATAAAGTTAACCTCACTTGTGTTGCAATAGCACATCAGCTTAAGCCGGACCCTTTCCAACCAGTCACAACTTCATGGGCACAAGTGATGGGAAAAAAGTCAGACATTGAAACATACACACTCACAAACACACACGAAGGTCGGTGCTTCTAGATTCTACATATGTTCGCGATGCCCGAAACTCTCCCACTCGCTCACACTCTCTCTCTCTCTCTACGAGTACATCATCTTCCGTCCGAAGTTGGCCCCCCGGGCCCCGGTTGAGGGATGAAAAAACCAATGACAACCAGAATCAGGGTCCTCTGAACAACATTGGAAGAATCTTATCATGTTTCCGGTCTTAATACACAACCAAATAACCAAAAACACGTGTTGAAAGACTTGGATGCACCCAGCGGCGATGGATGTATATGTGGATGGCTGCATCGAAATTGATCATTCAGCTCGTCCCTCAAACGACGCGCGCGGACAAACGGGAGGATTGACACATGGTAGCCCTCCAATCTGAGGACCGTGTGGTTCTTGCCTTGCCTCAAGCTTTGATCATCCAGGAAGTCTGGGTCATACGTCCTGAATTGCTGATTGCTCACGGTGGAAAACATGCTCCGCAATCGTGTGTGTGTGTGTGTGTTCATTTTTCTTTGGGGGAATGTGCGAAAACCTATGAACAACGGCAAAACAATGAATTAACAAGGCCTGGCGTCCCACCAACGCTTGGAACAAGGAACTGTGCATAGGATGTCCCCCTGACCTGGACCATGTTGGCACTTCTGCGGGAACAGCACAGGTATCGCCTCTTGCTGAGCGGGAAAATCAAAGGCAACTTCACCTCCGGCAACTCTGGGCTCGTGGTGTTTGCGTGCATGTCCGTGGCTAATCGAGTACTGGAAATGTAAGTGCAGGTTTGCCTGGTCGTGATGCCCACGCGACCACCCACGATACCTTTCTTGATGAGCACCGGCACCAAGCGCCAAAGGTCAGCTTGGCTTCTCCACCCTCCGATGACAATTCTATTCAGCTTGGAATTGGGACATTCACATGGAGATGGAACGTTCCCAGCCACTCCGTGAAATTCCTGCGACAAGTCTGGTTCACCAGCCGCCACAGTGAGTGATTTCAAGAAGAGTTCTGCTGACAAAACATCCAGTGGCATTCGAGGAATCGGAGCATCCGTGCTCGCCCATGATTCTGAGGTCTTAACATTCTGTTCATCACTGTGCGGGAGGCCCAATGCTTTTGAAGAGACTGTGTCATGCACATGGTCCAGACTTTTGGATTGCTGCAGGATGATGCCCCTGAGAGATTCATCCTTCTCCAGTGAGAACAAGGGCAACGAAGTGAGGAACTTCTCTGCAGCGGCCACATCAAGTTTAAAAGACATGGCTTGTCAGCATGGCGTTGTAAGGGCCTGCTTCATCATCTACAGTAACGTGAGCTGTGGCTTAGCCCCTCCGGGATTCCCCAGTTGCAAGTATATCACCTTGAAACCTGAATCAAACCATTGAAATACTGCATGATATTCTACTCAGCAGCCATTGAAGGACTTGTATGAGATGGTCCCGGCACTTATATGACACCAAGTCGTTTGCTTTGGTCAACATGATCATGGCCGGCGATGTCTTCTTTGGGGGGAATACGGGAGGAACGTGCTGGCCATGCTCGTCCTGGAGTGCGTTTAAGCTGGTGGGTTGAGTTTTGCATCAACACGATCTCTTCAACACGTTGGTCTGTGAATGTCTGTGAAACAGAGCGTCAGAGGTGGAAGGGAATAGGGAAGGCAGGACAATTGCGTTTTCAAAATCTAAGTTTCAAACAAATAAAAAATTACACTTATATAAATTCAGCTGTATTGTGCATGTTTTTTTCAATTCTGGTAGTTCCCTCTTTGGTGGCCCTTGGACGTTGCCATACAACGACACCAATTCCTTTCCTCCTGATCAGGCCTGGGAAGAAAAGCCGCCAAAGTAGCATTTTCCATAGCTTGGCCGCATATCTGGATGAAACTGGTATCAGAATGTGTTTTTTGTTTAAATTTGTCTATTTTGCCTTTGCAACTGGACTTGGGCCATGTGAAAACGATTGCTAAACAACAACTTGCAAACTTCCCTGATGCCTCACGAACGTTTGAGGTCGCATGTAACAATTGGCGTCAACAAAGGGTGGTTCCCAGACCCAACACTAACGTTGACACTCGTCTAATAAGTAGTCCCAAACCCATGTAGCTTTTCATGTGGACCAATAACAGTTTCTAGTGCATGATAACAATGCCGCATTGCAACAACATAAACTGACGGCCCGACTTCACCGCAGCGCCCATTTACCAAAACAAATTGTAGTTTTTGGCGGGCAACCGACCACATACAAAACACAAATGGATTCTGGGAATGGGGGCGCGGCTGTGAGGCAAACAGTTGCAGCTGGATGACTGTGATATGCCAAAACATAAACATGAACAAATCCTGCCTGTGGGCAAATGCATGTGCCGCAAACACACCCCCAGTGTTTGCAGAGTTGAATGGCTGGCATTGATAACTGAGAAAGCAGTTATGGCAATCGGAGAATGTTGTTTTTCAATTTATATAGGATTTTGCATCCTCGTCCGGTTGTTTCTCGCAAATTAACATTTGAGACGACGGGCTGCCCAGGGATCAGCGCGGCAAGGAAACCCAGCTCTGCGGCTTCCAGCTTGCAGCAGGCATGCAAAACTCACCAAAACGGCGCCTTTCTCCCAGAAACACGGCCCCACGCCCAAAGGGCCAACCAGCTTCGCAGGGGTCTTTGGGCGGCGTCCCCGAAACACACCAAGCAATCAATGCGAACATATGCGAAAACAACTTTGTAATAGTTGGAAAAATTTAACATAATTTAACTGCCAAAAAGTGGGCCGGGTTATCAAAGAATATATCCTATCAAAAAAAATGATTTGTATTGATTTGTACCAAAAATTTCATTTCACAAAGAGCTCTGCCTGTCACTGCGAACTGCCTTCGCAGCCCTGCGCGATGTGAATCTGGATGTGCAGACTTCGTGGCACGCGCAGCACTTTGAGCACCTCCAATAGCAGATTTCGTAGCAGGAGCAGCATTCTGCGCACAGAAAATGCAGATTTCGTAGCAAACACAGCACTTGGAGCACCTCCAGTAGTTTCGTGGCAGGGGCGGCACTTTGAGCACCTTCAGTTGCAGGGCTGTGGCAGCATGTGGCAGGCGCAGCACTTCGTGAACCTCGAAGTGCAGATTGCGTGGCTCGCGCGGCGCTGGGTGAACCTCGACGTGCAGATTGCGTGGCAGGCGCGGCGTTGGGTGAACCTCGACGTGCAGATTGCGTGGCAGGCGCAGCGCTGGGCGCTGTCTATGAGCGCCGACTTCGTGGCAGGCGCAGCGATTGCGAAATATTGCGAAACTCGCAGTGCAAATTGCGTCGCGTGCGCAAATTTTGCAAATTTTCTGTGGATCGCAGAACCTGTGAGAAGAACTCCTGACATCTCTGGATCTGAACATCTTTCTACACCCTCCGCAAGTCTAGTCCCCTGGAACTTAGTGTTCAAGACTTGCCTGGATCTCAAGACTCAAGACCTCTAAACCTCCATCTTTAGATCTGTGGTTTTCTAGACCTCTACACCTGCAGATCCGTCTGGATCTCCAAGCCTTTGGACCTTTGTAGATGTAGACCTCTCTACATCTCAACCGTGACCTCTCTGAATTTCAGACCTCCTGGTTTCTGTAGATGGACCTGTGGATAGCTCACAAAAGGTCCGCGCCTGTAAATTTTGCCCTCACATGGCGCACAAAAGGGTCCAAATGTTATTGTTAAATTTTCTAAAATTTTGCTCACAAAAGGTCTGCTACTTTGGCGTGGCACCTAGAGTTTATCTCCGGGTGGTTCACAAAAGGTTCGCCACGTTGGGAGAGCAAATTTTACAGGACCCTGGGGTTGCTCACAACTCAAAGGCCTGCTACGTTGGAATGACAATTTCCTCCTCTAAATTTAGCCTCGCAAGGCAAACAAAAGGTCTCCAACGTTGGAATGGTTCCTTCCTCTATTCAATTTTGCTCTGAGGTGGCTCACAAAATCCTTGGAATGGCACTTTTTTCGCCTAAATTTTAGACCATCAACATGTCACGGTGGCTCACAAAAAAAAGGTCTACTACGCCTGGTGATAAAGGGTCTGCCACAGTGCTTCACAGGATGTATGACCAGATTTCCAAATCACCTTGAACGCGTCTTGCCTCGAAAGTGCAAATCAAAGACCCAAGGACCAGAGCACCAAGGGACCAGAGGACCAAGGGACCAAAGGACCAAGGGACCAGAGGACCAAGGGACCAAAGGACCAAGGGACCAGAGGACCAAGGGACCAGGACAAATAGACCAAAGGACCAAGGGACCTGGGAACCAACAGACCAGGGGACGCCTCTTCCTTGTTTGCAGGTTCACACTCCAAAAACCGCATTGAGCAACACGTCGAAGAAAAACTCCTTTCCATGATGCCCGACGTTTTGTAAAGTCAACATCTACAGGGACAGTCACTCCCATCCTCGCGGAGGACCCTGCCGGGATGTCCCACGTCCCGGCCCCCGTCTTGCACAGGGGCACCATGAGAAAAATATGGTTGACTGCGGACGTCTGACGAGAGCTCGGACGTCCGGAAGCCAACACCTTTCGTTGAAAGATTTCCTGTTTTATACTTATCACAGAGCCCATTTGCATCTTACAATCCAACTGCAAACGGGAAAAACGCAACATCCATCCCATTGTAAAATGCAATGCCTTTAAGACGTGCGCCAAAAAAGTGCCCAACAGTCGAAATGTTTTCCAATGCCCTGGAACGCACATCGTGCTTTGGAAGATCATGCGCGTTTTCGCGCGGAGTCGTTGCGGGCGGCATGGCCTTGTTGTTGTGCACCGGCATTTATTTATGTTTTTTTTGGCGGTGGTTTTCTAAGAAGCTAGCAACTGGCTGTGACCCGTGGCTTTGCTTCGAGGGCATGCTTCGACCTATCTCTAACAAGCTTCACACTTGAATGTGGCACCAGTTTTTATCACCACTTAATCTTGTTTTTTGGGCGATGTTGAAACAACAACTGATGCTATTGGACTGCAGGAAAGACATCCACAAATCTAGAAGTGTACCAAGATGTACGGCGCAAACCGTTTTTTATACATCAAGGACTGCGAGGAAAGAGGTGCCGCAGTCCGCTCGCAACCAACAGGTTGTGAACCCAACCCAGGTGTAAGACCTCCACCAGGTGAAGTGGAGGCAGCCCCACAGCGACGCTGCCATGTCGATGCAACATCGGCTGCGGAGGCGCGCTCCAGCTGAAGAAGGTAGTGCAGAAGATCAAGGGCTAGAAGCGGCAGCTGCTTCGCAAGGTGAAGAAGCCCCTGGGCCAACAGGACCACCCTACAAGAAGGTGGATGCAGAATATGCTCGAAGAGCTGGAAAAGTTCCAATCACAATGAAATGGGTTGATCGCAACAAAGGCGACAATGAGAGGCACAACTACAGATCTCGCCTTGTTTGTCGTGAAATCAAAAGAGCCCACCATGCAGAGTACATTCCAGAGTACGCAACGTTCAGTGCAATGCCACCTCTGGAAGCCTCTGAAAGATTTTGTTTTCTTAGATGGTCACGCTGAAGATTTCCAAGCTTTATGGCGAGAACAAAAGTGAGGAGTCGAACGAGAAGCTCTTGGCAGGCAAGACTCCACTGATGCCTAAGATCCCAGCTTTACTGGGAGATCGACAAGGTGATCCTTGAACTGGTGCCAACAGAACACCTCCAATCCCACAAAGAGGAAAAAAAGAGGGGGGAACGGCTGGCTCTAACGAATGGAGGACCAGAGGACGAAGACCCCCGAGCAGGTGGCACTACGACCGGCACAACCTCAAGGGCACGATCAGGGAGGTGGCTTGATGGCAGTTCCTTCGATGGCTATGTCTCCAGTGTTGGAGGTACAAGGTCGCGGGTATGATCAAGGCTTCCCAGGCACACCATATGGCCTGAACCGTAAGTGATGCAACAGCAGCACACAGCAAATGAATGCAAATGATGACCATGTTTGAGGCGCCCCGCCAAGAGAATCAAAACCTACGTTTTGAAATCAACCTGAAAGGCAAGGGCTGGTGGACGACGACTCCCTGTGTCAAGACCATTGGGCAACGGTGGAGCAGGAGAAGGCGGAAATTGTACGAGTTGATTCGTATGCAACAGGTCCTAATACAAGATTGGGGACTACATCCATGAGGCTGCGAATGGTCAAGGGTTCACTACGCCTCAACGGGGAAAAGGGGTACCTGATCGCCCTACCGCTTCGCCTACGGACGGAGGAGGAGTGGTGGACGCCATGACCAAACTAATTACCCACCTGGGGGACAAGGAAAACAAATATGAAGGACCCGAATCGGTGAAACCGGGGACTATGACTTTGCCGAGACTGCCGGAACCCTCAGACACGACCGGGGACTATGACTTTGCCGAGACAGCCGGAACCCTCAAACACGTCGCCAATCGACCTGGCAGACTGGCTTACGATATCCTCGTGGATATATCCCTTCAACGTAGGGGGGCTCAATTTCCTAATGATAAAATCAAGACCCCCAACCAGGAGGAGGCTAATGGTCTGTACATAATCAGGGCCCTCAGCATGGACATGCCCAAGACCTGTACAAAATCAAACCACCCATCACAGCCCAACAACAAACAAGCCACTGCTACACGCCAATGCTACTTCTTTCTGTATTATATGTTCAATTATTTTATGTTATTTTGGTATATTTTCTATATTGTTTGCATCATATTGCAGCCACTTGCCAGGCATGTTCAAGGCTACTTCCCCTGAGCCTTGAAATGTTTTTGGACATCTTTGGACAAAGCCACATGCCAAAGGTGTGCGTACAAAATTGAAGACCCCAGGCAGCTAGCCATCCAAGTCTGGGTAGCAAAATGGGCCCTTACAAAATCAATGGACATCTGGACACCCAGGGTCATGATTTCCTAAGGTTTATTCCCACGGGGATCTTACGAT